AGAATGTTATTATTTAGCAGAAATTATAGTAATTTATAGGAAATCAGTTTTTGTTTTGGCGGTGTATGCAAACTTCGATTTTAGCGGTATGTCAAAGTTGTAGAGCAGTGGCTCTATCGAACGAGCGCATCAGGAGTTATGACGAGAAATCTTACGTATAGCAGAGCTGAACATGTAGTAAAAATTCCTTTTTCTCTTATGGAGTAAATTTTGGGTATTTTGTGATATTTTTGCGGATAACAGTTTGTGTCAGAAAACCATAGAACATCAAAACCATAGCAGTACAGATGTTGGCGCCCCTCGGTGTCATCTCTCCACATCTGTTACTAGCTAATCCAATTATATTTTCGAATGAGTATGGCAGATTTTTGCTTTATTGACGGTGGAATATGTGAATTTTAGTAATTACTATAGGCAGAAGTAGTAGTACAGTGGCTATAAGATAAATCTGTACAGCAGCGTTATAATGTATGTTCAAGTGTGAAAAACTATACAGCATGATTTGGAAATTCCTTTTATTGGAAAATCAGTAGGAAATTATTTTTGGATGAAAATGCGGATTTCAGAATTTATCAAGTTGTGTTGTAATTCAGTAGCGGTAGTTATGACGATTGTGTATTTCCGTATGGTCAGCAGTGAATCAGTATGACGAATCCAGTACGTGAGTCAGTATTGCGTGTTTTGAGCGGCAGAATTTTTCAGTGTTTTAGTCTGAGTTTGCGAGAATTTCAGTGGCAGATATTTGATTTGAATTATTTCCTTGTGTTGAGAATTTTGTATTATCATGTCGAAGCGTGGTGAAATTATTAAGCAGCACAGTGGTGCTCAAGCTCTTTTGTTTCCTGAGAATGCATTTGATGATCGCGTGAAAATGGCAGACAGTGTGAGAGAGCGTGTAATGGAAGATCTCTCTTCCAAGGTTCTCGATTGCCATGTGAAAGACGACCTGAAGAACGAACCTAATGCGGCGAAAGTGGTGGAGAAAGCGAATGTTGAGACTCCAGTGCAGTCTCGTGAAGTTCCGAAAGAAGCGGAGAAGACGACGACCAGTGGGTCTCAGCAGTCAGCTATGAGTAAGGAAGAAGCGGACAAGGAGTTCTTTCGCAAGTATTATCGTCCCTATAATCTTCCTCAGCCGAGAATTGATCCTCATTTTCCTCATGGTTGGTAATGGACATGTTTTCGATTTTATGGAATGGTTCTCACTTAGTACCTTGATTTATCGGTGATTCTAGCTTTTATTCAGAGATTTTAGAGAGATTTCCTTGTGCATATGGAGCAGTATTTCTCAGCATTTTAGATATATTATTGGTGGATGTATCGGCGTTTTTGTTCAGTATTTAGTTGTAGATTTATTCAGAGGATTTATTAAAGATTTAGTTGTCGGTTTTGTGCGTATTGTTATTTGCGGATTAAAGCGGTGATTTTGCAGTGACTTTATTTGTCTGTGTATAGCAGTGTGTCATCATAATAACAGCGGCAGTAGTGGTGTTGGCGCCCCCCGGTACCAGCACACCTCACCATTCACTCGCCGTCTGTAACACCAAAAATCCAGTAAACACAGGAGAAAAAGTAGAATTATAGAATATGAGTAGTTATTATTGCACGACAATGGCGCGTAATCGTTTGTTCCTAGTTATTTTGGATGCAGGAAATGTGTATTACAGTATGAAGAAACAGTAATATTGTAGTATTGAAATTCGTAGTGTAGTGGCGTGAGATACCATCTCCAGACGTCGGTTTAGTCTACCTTTAATAACGAGTAGTAGTGGAAACTTTAGATTTTTGCAGTGAATCGTAGTATTTTTATTTCGGTGAACTTCGTAGTGGCCTAGTGGCTTAGAGATCTCGCAGTAATAATTTAACACGAATAGTAACAGCGATGATCGGAGTTCAACTCCTGACTTGTAATTTTTGTTTCGTAGCGTGTTTATTTTTAGTGGAATTATCGAATTTCGTAGTAGTCGAGTGGTTATGAAGTGGCGCTACAGATCTGGACATTGTCATCGGTAGCAGTATAGCCATAGTTCGAAACCCGAGCAAGTTGTAATTTTTGTATTTCGGAATATGTATTTTCGCGGAATTATGTTGTTGGAATTCTAGAAACTTTGTGGTAAAACTCAGTATGGTATTAGTAACAGTAATTTTTTAGTATTAGCGGTGTTGTAGTGTTGTAATTTTAGTAATTTGCGTAGTGGCGCAGGGTACATGTTTTACAGATCATAGTAGTTTCTGTCAAATAGTAGGACAAGCAGGTCTCGAGTTCAACCCGTGCTAGCAGTAGAATTTTCTTTTTCCATTCAGTTTTGAGCAAACGAATGACTTTTTAATTTTAGTAAATTGTAGGAATTGTTTTATGAATCATGAAATAAGCGGAAATTAGATTTGTAAAAATTGAGAACTGTTGCGGTAATATTTACCGGATTGTTATAGTCAGTTATCCAGTAACAGTTTAGGGCGTAGTAATTTACGGCATTGTTGTGAAAATTCGTAGTAGTGCAGCGGGTCCATTGATTAGCATATGTTAAGCTAAGTCAGATTTTAAACGGCTTTACTTCCGTAGCACTTGTTCGATTCCCCTTAAGGGCGAACTTTTTGCAAAACTTTGGTTCTGTTTTTGTGTTGTCAGTATTCAGTAATTATTTTCATTAGTATTTACGGTGAAATCACTTGAGAAATTATGAATCTCATGTTTGTGGTATTTATGCGGATAACCTTTTCCTACTTCGTATTACTCAGTGTATTATTAGCGGCTTTAGCAGTAGCAATATTGTCAGCAGTTTTACTTCGTACTTTTATTTGGATTTCGTAAAACACAGAAATTTTACTTCGTATTGAACATTGCGGCAGTATCAGAGTACGCCAGAAAAATAAAATCAACATAGAACTTTTCACCAGTGTTCATCGCAGTTGAACAGTATTCACTCGGTAATTTGTGCAAATATACAGAATAAAATCGCAAAAGGCGATCTGAATAAAATCGAACGTAAATATACAAGACGTAAGAGAAAAGATAAAAGAAATAAAATCAATACATCAATACAGCAGACACGGTAAAAGACTTCGTAATTCAGTTCTTCTTGAAACGCTTGGCAGCAGGAGTTTTCAAATGCAGAGATCCATCCGGTTTACGTGAGAAAACCATAGCAACTGATTTAGGCATGTCTCCACGTGTTTCAGTTCCTGGTGCGTTAGGACGTTCAGCAATCACGGTAGTAGGATCGCGTAGCAGAGATAGCGTGTCCTCAGCAGTTTCGGTTTTTGGCAGTAGCGGAATAGGATTTGCGGCCAAGAGTCCACACAGAGGCATCGGCCCATGCATCGCAGCAGCATCGATTTTCATGGCAGTTTGACGCAGAATACTTTGTGCCTCAGTTCCGAGATAGGGAATTCGTACTTCGATAGTAGTTCCTTCGCGAGCACAGCGATCACAGCCACGATTATGCTCCTGAACCAGCATTCCTGTAATGATAGTAAATCAGTAGGAAATTTATACAGAAATTGTAGTTGCACAATTCAGTATTAATAGTCAGAAACTGCAGATAATTAGCGGAAATATATAGCAATTAATTTTGTAAATATTTAGGCGGAAATGAAAAGTATGTAGATTTGTTGTGGTAATTGTAGGGAAATATTCGCAGTAAATTATAGGAAATTATGCAGTAATAGTTATGCGGAACTAAGAGATACAGTAAGCGGTCAATTATTTTAGCGGTTTTATCAGATTTTTGTATGTGTTTGATCTTACCGACTCCTCGTGCTAATTCGTCCGACAGTCCTTGAGTTCGTCGATCAGTCATTTCGCGGTATACGATCGCACTCACGAACTTGTCTCCTCCGATAGACGTTAGGCATCCAATTTCCAGTAAGAAGTTTCTTTCCTTGTGGTAATACTTGATCCAGTTGTGTAAGCAGACAGTGTATGTTGTTCGGATGATGCGTTGAATTTCGAATTTCGTCATTGCGTATCCTCCTTCCTCCAGCACAGTCAGAACAGCGTTTCGCAGTTGCAGTCGCGTGGTAATTTCCTCGTTGCGATCTCGCTGAATTCGTGACGATACTTCCAGGAAACAACGTCCTTCTTTCACTCTTTTGCGTAGGAACCCAGAAGTTACAGCAGTCTCGATGTACTTGTCGATGTTCAGCATGGTGAATTCATGGTGTGCGTTGTTCAGTGTAGCCTTCAGATATTCAACATCCACGTAAAATCCAGAATCGGTGTGACGTCCAATGATAGTTCGGACGGCGAATTGGAAAGCTTCGTACAGTCGCATTTTTCGTGTGTAAAAACTCGTAGTGTCACGATCGAAAATTTGTTCGATACCAACATGCAGTCCAGCAGGAGCAGTAGATAAGGCAGTAATAGCGTTTAGCATAGCGGACATTTCAGTAACTATAGGTCACGCTTTAAGAAATATAACGTCTCAGTAATTCTGGTAGGAAAACGTATGAGGAAACAGAACTGAAAATTTTTCGGAAGCGGTGATGACTTTTATAGGCTTATAGCAGGAAATTGTGCAGCGTGTTCAGTGTATGTGTGTATCGCCCTTGTATGGCAGTGTGTCAGTGCAACTCGTAGTACGTATGTTCTTCTCATGTATTGTACGCCTCAGTACTTTAGCGCGTGTTTCAGTGCAGATGTACAGTTTTACTTCTTAGAATTATGGAATTGTTAGTTTTTGCGGTCAGATTTTCAGATTATCAGATTTTAAGTAGTAGGATATCTTTTTCCTTATTGCACGACTTGCGCCCAATCGTGGTTCAATATGCGGAAATAACCTTCTGAACAGGAAAAGTCAACTTTGCGGTAATTTCAGTGTAATTAATAGCGTATGGTTAACCCTCGTGGTATGGCAGTCTTGTGTACAGTAGGTTGAGAGTGATGACAGTGCAGATTTGTTGTGGTTTTTAATTCAAAGAGATACCGACAGTGTTGTGATTTCGTCAGAGCAGTGAACTCTTTTGTTGTGGTTTTTCGATTTTTGATATTTTCGGTAATCATGCCTCCTAAAGCGATTAAGCGTAAGCGGGAAGAGAGCTCTTCTTCTTCTTCTTCTTTCAGTAGTAGCAGTTCGAGTAGTAGTGTTAACTTTGCTGATGAATCGGAAGTGTCCTTCATTTCGATCTCCAGTATTCCTTCGAATGAGTCAGATGTGACGGAAACTCAGAGATTTTTGGCAGATGTTGATCCTTACGCAGTTGATTATATTGTGAGAGAACCTGATCCTGAAATTGGTAATCGCAGTGGCGTAGCAGATGTTGAGAGTGTGCACAGCGGCAACTCCAGTGCAGGTTTCGAGAAATCAGCGGAAATGTTCGATTGTTTTCAAGAAGACGGGAAACGTTATAAAGTGATCTCTACGACTGATACTGAGAGTTTTACGACCTTGATATCTACTCCCAGCGAAACATGTGATGACGAAGATGAATGTGCGTCGTGTTCAACTGGTCCTTTACCTAACACAGCGGAGAGATTAGCTAATCTGGCGGATGTGAATGTTGAAGTTGAGTCAGATCGCAGTTCGGAATTTGAAGAGCAACCCATGGTGTATCACGAGAAAACTCCTCCAAAACGTGACGATAAAGGTAACATAGTCCTTCATCCTGGAACTCGTTTGTTTTTGAATGGCAAGTTGTACCATGCCGGAAAACTTATCAGTGTCAAGAAGTTTAACCATTTTGTGCGTAATATGTCCAGAGAGCGGAACCGATATCTTAAAACTCAGTATTTATTCGCTCATCCTGATTCGATTGAGAGTCTAAACTTGATTGCGCAGTTGCATCGGAGAAATGACAGCGTCGTCAACTTTCCCACGCGAATGATGTTCAATGGCGGGTTATTGCATTCGCAGCATGTTGATAAACCTTCCCCAGCTGCAGTGCGGAAGAGGCAGCGGGAAATCAGTCCTGAAATTGTTGAAATTCCTTCAGTTGTGTTGTCGCGTGAATCTTCTCCTGAAATCCCTGTTCAGCGTCGTAAGAAGCAACGAACTTTTTGAACCCTTTTGTTGTCGGTTCGTATTTGTTGTGTTTTTACTTGGAATGGTGTGTAGTATTACGGTAACTACGCGGAAATTGTCTTTTGTTATTTGCAGTCGTCGTACAGGAATGGTAGTATTTTTGTGGCAGTATTTTTCGCGGTATTTTCTAGTTTTTACTCTGGTCGTACGGATCGGTGTACTATGACGTATTTCACTTTTTATTCGTTGATCAGTTTTGGTGTATTTGTTCAACAGCGGCATGTTTACGTTGCAGTGTGAATACCGAATATCGTAGTGTTATGGCGTGTACTTCGTACGAAATGTTCATCCTGTGTTTGTAGCACGCTTTGATAAATTAAGGCTTGTGCCAGTGAAACTTTCCTTTTTTGTTGAATTATGTATAGGTTAGTAATTTTTGCATAGATATTAGCTTTTGTTGTGGGTGTTGGCATATTTGTCAGAAGCAGCTTATAGTCGTGGTACAGTAGTATGTGGATTTTCGTAGTGTGAGCGATAGCTTATAACACACAAGTGGTCATTTTGAGTGTATTGAGCAGCAAATTGTATTGCTTGCAGAATAATCGGTAAAACTTCAGTTTTTGGTATTATTTTTGCAGTATGAGCAGTGTTAACCTTGTCAGTGTAGGAATTCGTAGGGTGATGTACGGTCTGAACGTAGGTGATCTTGAACGTTGAATTTGTTCCAGCTTTGTGAATAACATCAGTAAGTAGTTGAATTTTCCTTTTTCTCAAAATTGATAGCGGTGTAGTATTTTTGTGCGTTCCCACCCTCCCAATCCCGTTTCAGAAATAATTATGGATGCAGCATGAAATTGGCAGTAGTATTTTTCGTGATTGTTCGTAGTAGAATGGCTCTATGAGAACGGTGCTCCTCCGGTTGCAGCGGTTTAAATCAACTGTTTCTTCCATCTTAACACGGATTGTTGGTAATTTACCTTTGTAAATAGAACTTTGTCAGTAGAATTTTGAAATAACTTTTTGCGGTAATAACTCAGTATTTTTGCTCATAACGATAACAACATCAACGATATGCGGTAATAGTGTTGGCGCTTATCGGTGTCACCAATCCGCACTATTCTCTTGCATCTGTTTTAACAATCTGTCAGTTTTCGAATTTTGATATTCAGCGCTATGTGCAGTAATTTTCATTTCGGTATCGGTAACTCGTAGTCCAGTGTTTCAAATGGAATATCAACCAGTTAGATCAATGTGTCGTTATTAGCAGTGCAGCATGTGATTTTCGGTATTAATTTTTGTTGAACTTCGTAGTGTAATGGTTTTATATCACTGTATCGGCGGTCATTAAAAGCTCACTCCAGCATATATGATATTCGCTTGAAATATTCATGAATGCAGAATTTTCAGTACCTTTTTACCTTTTGCGGCATGTTAGCAGTAACTTTTAGCAGTATCGGAGTATCGTAGAGTAATGTTCGTGTATGCAAGGAAATCGTACCAGAACCTTTCCTAATAACTTTGTGCGGTATGAGATTTTCGACTTACCTTTTTGCAGTACTTCGTAGTAGTTCGGCTTGTGGGTGTAGATAAAATTGAGCATTGAGCAGGATTCCTTAAATGTTGATATGCAGTAGTTGAAATTTTCTTTTTTGTAACACCATAATAACATCTTATATATCTTAACAACATCTTAAAACCATAATAAGTCTTGGCGCCCCTCGTTGGCCCTTAAAACTTTTAACACCTTCAGATAATTATAGATGCGGTATGTGTATGGTTAATATTTTCGGTATCGGTAGTTTGTAGCTGGTCGGCTTTGTGTTATCTATACAGATGGATGTGTGTAAAGTCTTATGTAAATTCTTGCGGTATTTAGCATTTCAGCAGTATTTTTAGTAATTCTCGTAGTTTATCGGCATGTGAGTCAGCGCGACGGTCAACGGTTTTCTTTAATCAACAGTATGTTAGAATTAATGCAGATGTTCAGTTTCATAGAAATTATCTTTTTGTCGAGATTTCGTAGTATATGAGCTTTATGAACGGCTGTGTTGCAGGACTAATTCGTGATTTTCCAGATATCAGTATATGCAGTATGTAATGCCGTCCCAATATTTTTGTGAAATTTCGTAGTAGAGTGGTGATAACGAATCTGTGGTGATAACTGACTAGTTCGGACAGATCATGTAAATTCTCACTTAAAAACTTCCTTTTCCGTATATTTGTATTTGCAGTTTGTCGGCGGTTGAACCTTATTTTTGTGAATCAGCGTAGAATTTCGGCTTTAGTGTGTGTTTCTCATCATCCAGTTATAAGCTTATAAGTCTCAGATTTTGGTGCATGTAGCAGTAAAACTCCCTTTTTCGTTGAATGTTCGTAGTTAGACGGCTTAAGATCCAGCAAATCCTTTATATCGTCTATATCTCTGTAATAATATTGTTGTGTTTAAATTTTGAACTTTTTACCTTGTTTTTCGATATTACCTTTGCAGTATGATTTTCAACAGTCTTTAATTTTGTGGCTTATCGTAGTGTTTCGGCTTTAATCGCTTGTAGATCTTTTATCATTGCATCTTAAGTGCAGATTTACTCTTCATTTTCAGTAGCAGTATAGCAGTCGGTTTTAGTTTTTGTTAATTTTCGTAGTATGTTGTCAGTCTAAGCGTTTTGCATTGCGTATCGTCTGAACTTAGTATTTCCTTATCAGTGCAGTATGATTAGTAACTTTTATCTTTTTAATTAGCTTCCGTAGTATAATGTCTGATGGTTCGTTTCCTACCACGTTTCACGGCTTAGCGCAGATATAACTTTCCTTGTTGCAGTTAGTCTTTTAATCCTCTAATTTTTATTAGTTATTCGTAGTATAACGGTTGTCAGTCGTCTCATACATCCACTTTCAATACGGAATAACATTTAAATGATCAGTCTTTAAAGCACTTAATGCTATAAACAACATCTTTTTCAACATCTTTTTAATACGATAACACCCTGGATCTCATGGACGTTCCTGCTCTCCGCCTTTCCACCTCCTTGGACTTCCGGATTGCCAGTTACGCTCCAGGATCCGATGACCTATAACACTCAAACAACTTACCGGATCAAGCGATGTTACTTACTTTTGATGGCACCGGATAGTCGGGATGGAATTTGGCGATAGTGCTAGATGTTGCACGCACTATGCGGATGGAGCAGATGTTACTTTTTCCTATGTCCCTATGTTCCTTCCTCTTCGTTCCACGTCGTTCCGCAGAGCTTCACTTTTGTTCCACTACGATCCAGAGAAATCTCGTTTGCGGGGGTGACGTGTACTGGCGTCCCTTAGTACACATCGGTACTACTTTACTACTTCTACCCCTACAACTAAGGCTTAGGCTTTACTACATCTTTTACGCGAGTCCTGACCCCGAGTCTCTACTTCGACTTCTCAGAAATCCCCAGCAGAGAACTTTGACCGCGACTTGCCATTTCGACGTGACCGCGCTTCGATGACGTAGCTCAACCTATTGTTCTAGTGTATTAGTTGACCTCATGTTCTCATTTGTCCACGTGTAGTGATGCAGCGGTGTGATTAGTCCACGTGTCCTTAGATGTCTCTTATTGGTTAGATTCTAAATCCCTATTGTTCTCAGATCCGTACCTGCGCGTACGAAGAGCCAGCACTTGCGGTGCCCACGGCTATATAAGGCGCTCGTCGCCCACACAAATGTCAAGAGTTGTAATCCCAACAAAAGTAGAGTCTTGTTACTCGATCTGATTAACTTCAGGCTTTTGCTCTGGTTTTCTCTTTCCAAGTGAGGCTGTTCAAACTGACCTCTGGGTGACCTTTCACCTATTGTCAGGGGTCATTCCTCTACTTCGTCGACGTGCATTATCATCTTCGGATAGTCTCGTGACGTAACAGGCTACCCACTTGATCCCACTTGATTGCCGTGACCTTTCGGTCCCTTCGATCTTCATGCCCTGTAGCGCCAGGTTGATGGATTAGTCATACTCATACGCTTCAGCTACCATCTAGCGTCGGACAGGTAACGTATAACTTCACGCATCCCTTGTGTTTCCTTTCGTGTCTTCTCTTTCAGCAGGCTTTCTAGTTCCGGATCCTCTTCTTCATCCTTGCATATCATCTCATACTTGTACATCAACATCCTTAACCTTTCGCTCCATGAAATACATAAGAAGTTGAGATTAAGAGTCGCTCTATTCCCCCGACTGGTCGTGGTCCGGGAAGTGCATTATTTCCACCGCACAACCGCTTTATTTATATTTTACTTTCCCTATTGCACGACAGTATGATTAATTATGCGTCATCACTTGCATTTAATGAAATCTCATCTGGTGAATATTGCATGGACTGTGTGACTGATGTGTTTCAATTAACCATGGAGAAAAACTGCACTTATTGTTAATACGGTGCTTTCTGCACGCTTTTATCTCACACCTATATTATATTTTCCAATTTGGCAATTTCACAGATTTCATGGCCAGGTTGATCCAGCTGGTCTGAGGCAATGTGTAAGTTATACGGGGTCGGAATTTCCTAGTGCTTATAAACAGTTACGATTATGCAAACTCCATAGTTGTCCAAAGCCCAGTTTTGTTATTGTGAAAGTCCGCGAACACTTGCTTATCCATTTTTCAAAATTTCCCAGAATTCTTGTTATGGCGACGAAATCTACGGTCTTCCCGGTGCCGGGTGCCATTCTGAAGGCTGTTGTTTGCGATCGAAGTGCCACGTTTCTCCTGCAGAACACTTCTACTCTTTCTAACGAGGATGTACGCCCTGGTGATGCGTCTTGCGATGTAGTCATGAAAGGAAGCGAGGAAACGGCTGCAGCTATGCCGTGTCACCGATCGGTTTTAAGCTGTTGCAGTGGTTATTTCCGCACCATGTTTAGTATCGGTTTGAAGGAGTGTTATACCGAAGAAGTCCAACTGGAGAATGTTTCAAGTGAAATCCTAAAAACGTGGGTATCTCGTTATGCAATATTTTTTGCTCTATTTGCAATCGAGTAATAACACTTTCCACTGATTTGTAGGTAACGAACTAACGAATGCACGCAGCGTCGAGATTATCCTTCTTATTCTTATATTTGCAGTTTAATCGATTTTGCTTACTCGTTGGAAATCTCAGTCCATAAAGACAACGTCATGCCGTTGTTAGCGGCTGCGGTGTTTTTGGAAATCAGCCCAGTGGCGGATGCATGTTGGGAATATTTGGAGCGACATTTAGATGAGACGAACTGTTTGATGATTTACCGTATGCGCCACTGTCAGATCCACCGAGAAAACCTAGCACAACGAGCTTGGAAACTGGTGCTTCGGCATGTTAGCAGCATTTCCCATGACAGTGACTTGCTAGAACTAGACGAAGATACGGTATGTTTGTATCACTAGCAGTGCTTGATATAAAAATCCAAAATGTTGGTCACTACTCACACTATAACCACACTCGTTTATTTTAACTATGCTCTATTTCGTCGGTTCCTACTCTACTCGGTAGTGCTCGCATTTTTCTCACAGTATACTGCCATATTTAAAGCATCTGTACATATGTGCATGCCCCGAGTTACGTGAAGCGAATGCCTTTCCGCTGGTTGCAGCTAATTCGGATTATTCTGTCGGACAACTTGAACGTGGATAGCGAAGACGACGTTCTGGATGCGGTTTTCCGTTGGTCTCATCATGACCTTACTGAACGACGATCAGCGCTGAAAGAAATTTTGCAGTTTATACGAAGGCCCTTCCTGAGTTCGCGGTCTATTAAAAATAACAAATATAAAACGGTTGTAACGGATAAAACTGTCGATGAGCAGAATGGTGCAGTTGTGGAGCTCAACGAATTAAGTATACAGGACCAAGCTACGAATCGGGAAATGCCAGTGTCCTCTTTGCAACAACGTCCGCGTAAATTTTATGGTAGCAAAAATTATGGTAGCGTAGTGACATGGCAACAGAGTTGCCATGTCACTACGCTACAAAAAACATACTGTAAAATGGTGGCTTACCATATTAGTCATATTGCATGCAAATTGCCTTTCAGATTCGAGAACGGTTATCGTCTGCGTTGGAGGGGAGGTTGATCGGAGAGGCTGGGCTGGACTGGACTGCATGAACTGCTTCGATCCTGTCGATCGTGCATGGTCGGTATGGGCGCCAGCGCCGTATCCAGTATGCGGCGCTGGTCTCGTAAACATGGGCAACCAGCATCTGTTCTTGTGCGGTGGATATCTTCCCTCCGGAAAATGCAAAACACTACATGTTCACCGCTACGATTTGAAAACCAACGACTGGGAACAAATGGCGCCCATGCAGGCTGCACGCTCCTTCTTCGGCGCAGTCGAAGTGCATGGTCTGATTTACGCTTTTGGTGGGTATGATCCTAACGATAAGCCGCTATGCAGTGTTGAACGATACGATCCGGTATTGAATCGATGGCAGTTTATGGCCAGTTTACCGATGCCGTTGGGGAGTTTCGCTGCCGCCGCACACAACGGCCGTATTTACACATTCGGAGGCTGTACTACTTCCAATAAGGTCACCGGTATTGTGTTCTGTTACGATCCACCACTGGATTCATGGAGCGAGCTAGCGACGATGCCGACTAATCGCTACTTGTGTTCCGCATGTATCGGCCCGAGCGGACAAATATACGTCATCGGTAACAGTATTGACAAAACCGGTAAAAAACTTGATGGTTTTTACGATCATATGACGTATTTTAGGTGGACGTGATAGGCCAGCCGGCTCTAGTCTAACCTGTGTCGAAGCCTACGACACCAGCACAGACTCCTGGTTGACTAAAGGTAAGCCCACGCATCTGTAAACGCAAAAGGACATACCATAATAGCATACGTACATAGCGTAGTTACGTTAAATGCATTTGCCAATGCAGTGGACAGTTCTGCAGCTATCGAATTCTGCAATTTTCAGGGGATATGAATACTGCTCGCTGTTGCGCCGCCATCGTACATGTGGAAGGAACTGTTTTCGCGTTGGGAGGGTTCGGAATCAACAGCAACAGCAGTTCTGTGGAAAGATACTACGAAGAGTCAGACAACTGGACCATGCACGAAAGCCCGTTGCCCCATCCACAATGTGCCTTTGGATGTGTCACAATGCAAATCAGGAACGGTTAAGAAAGTGTTTGGTATTCAGGTTGAAGTAGGGAATTGAGTTTCACTTTTGGGCATCGCTGGCTTTTTCGTTTACTGTAAATCATGAATCTGTGTCTTTCGCGAATTCGCACTCGCTTCAGAGCCGGCTTGCTATCCTGAGTGTCGGTACTGATTTGTGAGTACGATCATCAAAATTAAATTAATTGTACTGATAAGGAACGCACAAATAGCAGGCTTTTGACAGGTTGCTATTTTGTACTTGCGGAGACCTTATTAAAATTTCGCTCTCAACTTGAAGGCTGTTAACGCATTTAACAACCGTAAATACAACACTTCACGCATATGTACTAGAGAACTGAACTCATTTGGCGGCATATCAAAAATTAACCTGCATATAACCTGGGTAACCAGGATGTACATAAATGGGAAATGTACTATGTAGGGCAGAAATGGAAAACTAAACGGAATCAGCACTGTATCGCACTCCTTAACCGGTCTATTTATGCTATTGGAGGATACACCGACGATCAAACACTGAAATCGGATGAACGGTATGATCCGGTGACAGACCAATGGGAAACCGTGGCCAGTTTACCGATCCCGTTACATTCTGCCGCTGTTGTGGGGTACCAAGACAGGATTTATTTATTTGAAGGGGTTGCATAAGATAAATCATTTCCTGGTGTTTTGTGCTACGATCCAGCAAAAGATTTCTGGTGCCGACTGGCCAACATGCCCACTCATCGTTTGGTGTTTCGGTGTGCGTTGGTTTTCGTGCGGTAACGCAGGTTCAGTGCTCTGTAATGGGCACTTCAGAAAACGCATTTAAAATCAATCTTCACACAGGTGGACGCTTAAGGTGCTAATTTGTAGGAAGTATGAAAAAGAAACAAAGTGGGGACTGTTTAGACGAAAAGATATACGCTCTGAGCGGATTATTATTTAGTCTATCATCACGAAAGCGATACTATAAAGCGATAGCGACCACGGCTAACCCGTGATTTATGTTGTAGGTACATAAAGTACAATTAAGTTTTGATAAGGATTCGTCTAATCAAGTTCGTGCTGGAGCCACTTTGTATTCAGACCGCCACCGTAACTTATCAAGATAAGCAGTGCATTTCTTCGGTTTCTGTTCTTTAATTGATCGAGGATCCTCCAACCAATATTCTTGCGAAGAGCGTAGAAATGCAACACGACGTCATTCTTTACGGTCGCGGGCCCAGCTCCTGTTCCTGGCGGGTGCGTGCTGCCTTGGCGATAAAAAATATCGAATACAAGCACGTTATTCTCAGCAGAAATGAGCAAGACAAAGAAACCCAGAGGACACTGCTGCAAATTAATCCACTACGCCAGGTTCCGGCGTTGTATATCGATGGGCATACGTTGACGCAGTCAGTGGCTATTATGGAGTATTTGGAAGAGACGCGTCCGGAACCGGCGATTTATCCCCAGAATCCGTTAAGCAGAGCGCAAGTGAGGCAGATTGTTGAGCTGATTAATTCGGGGATACAGCCGCTGCAGAATTCCGGCGTAGCACAGTGGTGCAGCAGCGACGAAGCAAAAAGTACGGAATGGCAGGTAAAACATTCGGTGTGCTGCACTGTACTGTACATCAGCATTCCTTTCACCATCAGTAAAACTTCTCTCTTGTTTATCCGAGTGAGAGTGCATTTGCTGACACTATACTTTGTACAAACAAATTTTTGAGAGTTAAAAAACATTTAAGGTTCAGTTAAATAAAGTTGTGTGGGAGTATATTTGTTGACCTTTGCTTTAATCCAGGAAGACGTTTTCAGACAGTGCATTTGCCAAGCACGAGCGTTCTTCTTCACTCTTAAGCGTTCATTTTGCCCGTTACTAGGTGTACTGGATTGAAAAGGGATTGACCGCACTGGAAAAACTTCTGAAGCAGACTTGCGGCAAGTACAGCGTTGGCGACGAGATTACCGCAGCGGACTGTGCGCTAGCTCCGCAAATGTTCTCAGCAAGGAGATTTGGTGTGGATGTCAACAAGTTTCCAGTAGCTACTAGTATCTACAAGAACTTGCTGGAGGTGGAAGCATTTCGAAAAACTCACCCCTTTAATCAGCCCGACGCATCGGAGCACCAACGTGGGCACATCGTTTGAAGCACAGATACCGGCGCGGATTGCAGTGCATCCCGACAGCACTTGCCACTTGGCCATACAGGAAAGGAGATTTCTTGTATTCAAGGGTATTCTTTTAACTGAATTGACGCGAATTTGTGTTTAGCGTGATTTTGTACATGCTCCAACCAGTACCATCCTAAACAATTGAATATTTGGTAACCCGTCCTTATTATTAACTTGATACACCACACGAGAGTGATTGGTTGGGTCTTTCTTTTGTACTGTAGAACTTGAATTAATTGTGTGCGGTTTTGTATGTTCAAGTAGTACATAATGTAGTGCTGCCGCTTAATGCTGTGACAAAATTGTTAAGTTCGCTATTTTACAGTAGCGCCAAATTTCCTCCCAAACAAAGTTAAAGATATACTGTAATTCAAATAATTAGGCAAACGCGTGTTCACGCCGCAACCATGTACAAAGTTTTGAACGTACAATTCGGTCGCTACAATGTCATAATAACTATCGTATACCAGTATCGAAGGATCTCAAGAATCACCGTTCCGCAAAAAATTAAATGTGTTTTTAAACGAATTAGTTATATCGCGCTTTCGAAATCATACGGTAGTTGTTCTTTACTCTGTGTACTAAGCGCATTTCCGCCGATTGACCGGCTTTTAAGTGGGTTACGCTGCGGCATGCAATTATGTCGTGGCTTGCCAGTACCGGCTCGGAAACACATCTTCCGTTCAACTAGATCAGTACAAGAAGGTACGTATAAGACTCATGAAACCGTATGCTCGCCGGCTCGCTGCCAGGCATAAAAAACTTCATGGACATGTTGGCGGCTGTAAAGCTACAAAGTTGAAAGTAGTATCGGCCGCATGCTTTTACGTACTGTGTTTTGGCTACCCTACTCGTAGTACAAGAATTATTGTACATTAAGAGCGCTTGCAACAGCAGCTGCAATCGTATACAAGATACAATATCGCTCTGTACAGTGGCGGTGTACACAATGGTTAATCAAACCTTGATAAAACTTTCAGCAATCAAAGCTTGCCGTGCATATAAATGAACATTATGTGGTGTTCATCACGACCAGCACTTATCTGCCTCAAGCGTCAACTGCCGCAGTGCACACCACCACAGCCGGGATCTCTGATTTTGCCTGCTTTCCGAATAAATTTTCGAACCGTCTCCACCATGAGCGAAAAAATGCAGCACGATACCATCTTATACGGAGGCGGGGTGAGCTCCTGTTCGTGGAGGGTACGCGCCGCCATGGCCATCAAGAATATCGAGTATAAGCACGTCATTCTCAGCACCAAAGCCCCGGATGAAGCGACCCTCAAGAAACTGCAGGAGATCAATCCGCTGCGCCAGATCCCGGCGCTGTATATCGATGGGAATACGCTGACGCAGTCGGTGGCCATTATGGAGTATCTGGAGGAGACCCGCCCCGAGCCGGCGATCTATCCCAAACATCCGCTGAACCGCGCGCAGGTGCGCCAGGTGGTGGAGCTGATTAATTCCGGGATCCAGCCGCTGCAGAATCCCACGGTGGCGCAGCGGTACAGCAGTGACGAGGCCAAGCAGAAGGAGTGGCAGGTAATGATTTCCCTGATTTATATATTTGTTTTATATTATATATGCAACCATTTCCGGCGGTAAGTGTAACCGCGTATAATATTTTTTTCTATAATTTATCTAAAGTAATATTTGTTTACGGTAGTACGTACCAAAAATCACATTTAACTTTACAACACATTTAAATCACATTTAAGTCTAACTGCAGATAGGCATTGCTCAATGCAACAGAATTGATAGGGTGAGCAAATATCGTGCAACCATTTCCGGCGGTAAGTGTAACCGCGTATAATATTTTTTTCTATAATTTATCTAAAGTAATATTTGTTTACGGTAGTACGTACCAAAAATCACATTTAACTTTACAACACATTTAAATCACATTTAAGTCTAACTGCAGATAGGCATTGCTCAATGCAACAGAATTGATAGGGTGAGCAAATATCGTGCAACCATTTCCGGCGGTAAGTGTAACCGCGTATAATATTTTTTTCTATAATTTATCTAAAGTAATATTTGTTTACGGTAGTACGTACCAAAAATCACATTTAACTTTACAACACATTTAAATCACATTTAAGTCTAACTGCAGATAGGCATTGCTCAATGCAACAGAATTGATAGGGTGAGCAAATATCGTAGGCAACTGGCTTAAATGGTATTACATATAACGACAATCTTACAACAAGCAGGCGAAAATGCAGTAGTTTCCATTATACGGTAGTAAAAATTTAATTTGCAACACAATTTTTTTACATTGATACCGAATCGCGCAAAACGTTTATTAATAAAGAACATATCGTACCACAGCTACAAAGTCATTTAATACCTGTGTAATTGTTCTACTATACGAGTACGAATAATGCATCGTATCTTTATTTTCGGGTAATCTAGAAATACTGCGAAATCTTCGAGGTATACAGAGTACAACGAAATAACGTTGCAAATCTATGATATTTCATTATTTTGAAAGACAGATTGGTTTTCCAATACGGCAGATAATATGATTATGACAATAGCGAAACATTTGACCCTGCTAATGTATTTGCAGTATCAGTTCGATTTTTTTCCGATTCTGCGATGTACTGTAACTACTTACCAGTTGTCCTTTTACTAGCCAAACAATGACTACACTGCAGAAAAGGAGTGACAGGTAACCATTTCTGTGCAATACGTGCGGATTGTGTATAATTTATAAATTATCAATAATTAATATTTTTATTTTTTATCATTATTGTTTTTTTTATTGTAAATCATCTGAAGTTTTATTCTACTGCAGTACACAAAAGTGACAAAACCATAGTTTTAAGTCTAATTGGGCAATTTGTCAACGCAACAGAAATGATAGATTGAGCGAACATCGTAGACGAATGGCTTATAACACTCGCAACGACGCTTGCCTCCTCCCTTTCTTAACAACTTACTGCCAAGAACTAAGGAGTAAGCAAGTTCGCGTATGGCAGGAAAAACCTAAATTGGGCGTTATTACATAATTTTTTGCACTGATAGCCGCGGAAAAAATATAGGAAATTTTGTTACAAATGAATAGAACGCTGGCCGGCCATGATATACTGCAGCAAATTCTATGTTAAACAAATGAAACCTGTTCAGGTTAATATGCTGTGTTTGTACTTTATTTTTTCAGCGCACATGTACTACTCACTCCGATACTCGTGTATTAAGAATTAGTTTGCAGGTCGAATTTCACATTTCGCAGCGGTTTTCACTTTTCAAAATCCTTATCATATTCCGATATTTTTTAAGGTGTACTGGATCGAGAAAGGCCTGACCGCACTGGAGAAGATTCTGGAGAAGACCAGCGGCAAGTACTGTGTGGGCGACGAGGTCACGGCAGCGGATTGTGCGCTGGCTCCGCAGATTTTTGCCGCCCGACGATTCGGTGCGGATATCAACAAATTCCCGTTGGCCGTTGGCATCTACAACAATTTGTTGGAGGTGGAAGCATTCCGCCAAAGTCACCCGTTCAATCAAGCCGACGCACCGGACGACAAACGCGGACAAATCGTTTAATGCTCAACCCAATTTTCGCTCAAATAATTTACAGGACAGATTTTTCTATATGTTTTCTTTTACAAAACTGCCGCTTTACATGAACGCGATTAAAAATTAAAATAGGTTATTTCAAGCGGCAGCACATTTGGCGTAAAGTAATTCCCATGAATCAAATATATGCAAAATATTTAACAGAGTTTTGTTTTCTAAAGCCTAGTTTATTGTTAGTCGCGCGCGTGCGGCTTGTAAACGAAGTTCTTTAATGCGGCAGTAAGCTGGAAAATTTAGAAACGATCGCCGAGTACTAAAAAATAAACATTACTGATTCGGGAATAAATTGTGGACCCGGCATAGTCTGCTTCGGTTGACGAAAAAAGAATTCATGTATGCCGTTAAGCAGGCTTTCGTTGGCAAAGTAATGTCTCTGTATATATAAAAGATTCTTCCTATATTACTGACTATAGGAGTATAATAAAAGAATATTTTAGTATGAAAAGATGTATCGGCACATCGAATCACTTTCAATTTAAATTTTTCCCCCTCTCTTCATCAGGAGTGTCCGGCTGGTTATTTGGATGTGTCCGTTGGAAATAGTCCAGTTTCAGCAAATCTTCAAAAATGCGTTTACAAGTGGGAGCACGATTCAGGTCCGCGCCGAAACGTCGCGTCGAAAACATCTGCGGCACTAACGCCAAGTCGGCAAAGGTTATGTCGTCGCCCACGCAGTATTTTCCGCTGCTGTCCACCAGGATTTTTTCCAAGACGCCCAGACCTCTTTCCATCCAATACACCTAATAATCAACAGTAACTTGACATTTTTCTTTCGGCGAAATTCGAAACGTCAACCCGCTGCATTTCATCGTTATACTTATAAAACAACCCTTTGGAGTCTGCAGTCGATAATTACGAATTTCAATATCGTAATCATCAACATTTAAAACCTACAATTTTAAGAAAATTCTAAAAAAAAATTATATATTTCGAGAAACATACCGCCCTTATTAGGCAAATATATACTAACCAGCAGAGCAAAGGTGTCAGGCAACCCGATTGTGCTGCTTATTTTTTTTTGTCAAAAAATGGAACAAGCTATCGCAGCAAGTTTTTAATTAAGAAGCTTGCAGGTTTTCAGGGCACAGCGTTAAATTAGCTATAGACCTGCAACTTGCAGAAGTCAGCCCTTACACTACACCATCGCCCGCCACTACATTTTTAACGACATGTTGTGTTTAACAGCTACCTGCGTCAGCAGTTATAACTAACTTATTTGTTTTCATTTTTACACAATTATATTTTCCAGTTTCAGAATAACAGATGTATTAATTTGTGCTAATTAATACTTAGTTGTTTTCCAAGTTCCATGCAGCGTACAACAAAACAATAATACCAATAATAAATTGTTAGTACTTAAATAACGATGATTACCTGCCATTCCTGCTGCTTCTTCGCATCATCACTGTACTTTTGCGCAACCGGCGGATTCTGCAGCGGCTGGATGCCGGAATTGATAATCTCCACAATCTGCCGGACCTTGGCGCGCTTCACCGGATCTTTAGGAAGTAGCGGCTTTTCCGGCCGGGTCTCTTCAATGTACTCCAGTATAGCCACGCTCTGCGTCATTTTATTCCCATCGATAAACAGCGTCGGCACTTGCCGCAGTGCATTTAGTTTTAACTTGTACTCCTCCGCATCCGCTTGGGTGGCACTGTAGGGATCGAAGATTTTCTGCTCGTATTCGATACCTTTATACACGAATGCGGCGCGGACACGCCACGACGCGGAGCTTTTAGCGTAACCGTAGAGGACCGGTTTTCTACTTCCGGTGTGCGATGCCATACCGCGAACGATGGGATGGAATAAACGCATGGAGGAATTCATTTTATAAGCGAATATAAGAATGACTTATTTTAAAAATATTTAATTTAAGATATATTATATGCGAAGAGTTCGAATTTTCGTCGAATTACTGCGCCAGTGTAATTTTTGTAAAATAAACCGACTTGTGTTTTAACAGTTATATGATCGGCTACTTAACGCGAGAGCAGATTTGCGGAATTAATCTGTTTGATATGTCGTATACAACGTATATCGGCTCGTATACAGACATTTTCATGTTCGACTTTTGTGGTAGATAAGAATTCTTGAGATATCGGTACGGTGAATCTTGCGAAATGACCTTTGGCTTTAAAGTTCACTGAGTACTTCAGGAAGTGGCAACGACAAATCTTATCACTTTTATTTATGTTTCGGCACCGATACATAGCATAACTATATGCTATACTTTTGCAAACGCATTTCCGGTTGCACACGAGCCGCTTTGTAAGTACTTGATAATCATAAATATACATAAATAAATTAATAGAAAAATAAAATAAATAAATCATAAATCAGCTTCTTAAAGTAATCATAACCATCCGCTTCATAAATTCTGCAAAATTATAAGCCAACTTTTTTGACAACTTTACCGTCGACTACAGCAATAAGATTACTTCGCATTTTTGTAATATCCGGGAATTAACGATCAACCAAAAATTTATTGAAAAAAATTCAACGACATGCATTTTTCTCTGGACAGATAAATACGCTGCAACCTACCAACCTCCCCATCCCTCCGCTCCATCAACCCCTCCCCCCTTCGCCCCCATAACACATTCTATAAAAATCAAAAAAACATCACCCCAAAAACGAGGAAAGAAAACTGGCAGGCAAAAAAAAATAAATAAATTAGACACGGATAAATTAAACGGACGCCGACTACAATTCTGCTTGTCACAACTTAGGACCATGCCAACGGGAGATGGTGGGACTGCCGCCCAGCTGGCCGTTACTGCTGTTCAGCCAGTTGTTCATGTTGTGGGCCGTGGCGGAGACGGCCAACGGCGGGAGGGACCCGGCCGGTCCGTCGGGAATGGACGGCTTACGGCTGACACGGCCCGGCAGCGTGTCTTCGGCGTTGGCCAGGGATCCGTCCCCGCGGATCACCGTCATGCAGTTCCACACGCCCACATGATCAGCTACAATAACCAAATTAAGCAACATTATTTTTATTTTTCATTTATTTCTTTTTTTTTATTTATGTTTCATATTTTTTCATTCTAGTTTCCATTTGTTAGTTATTCTTTCAAAATATATTCTTTCGGTTAAATAAAAATTAAATTGTCGATTTAAACAATTTTGCCAAACCAAAAATAGACAAATTTAAACAACATTTAATTTTTATATGTTTTTTATATATTTTCATGTCGATTTCTTGCTTCATTTCTTGAATTATTTTTTCACCGTATCATTCCCTGCGTTAAAAATAAAAATCAGGTTTTTGATTTTTATAATTTTGCAATGCCAAGTTTTCAGCGCAGTGACTGTGGTATACTCAAAATTAACTTCTATTCTCCCAAAAAGGTAAAGCTTCCTTAAAAAGAAAGCAGCAGTCTACTAATACACACGACGGTAAAACCGTTAGCAGTAAGCATTTAACAGTGGGTGAAATCGACCATAACCCGAACAGTATTCAATACTATTCATGTTCTACGTTTTTCCCTGTTCTCTTACCGCGCCACAGACGAATACATCCATCATCCCCCGAAGAGGCCAGAATCGTTCCGGTGATATTCCAGCTGACACGCCACACTCTCGACTGATGGTTTTTGAAGAGTCCGCGCAAACTGATGTCGTAGATTTTCGGCTGACTGCTCACCTGGTGCGTGGAATTCACGCTGGACACCGAATTGGAACGTCTGTACAGATAAAGATAAATTAAAAAGAAAAGCTGAGATGTACCTTCAAATGTTGAGTAATACCGTCGCTCTTTATATCACTTAATTCATTCAAAATCAAGTATAACCAGAGAGGAAAACATATTTGTTTAAAACTTTTATCTGTGAAACAGTGTCACCGCGGCTGCCGATCTCTGCTACTTATAACCGTCTATTTTTATAGATCTATATCTATATATTTTATAGATCTTTATTAAGCATAATTAAATCGAATAAAAAAGGAAAATTCTAGCTTAAACTTGGCATTATATTTTGTGCCCATATGAGCGTGATTCTATCCTGTCACAGCTGTTCGGAATACTATGGATGCTTCAACAGAGTCATTACACTACGATACCCGGCAAACTACACCAGTGCACACAGACAACTGCGCATGCCTGCAATTAAGCGTAAAGCCACAGACCAGGTCGAACTGTCAAAATTACTTTTAAGTAAAAAAACAAACAAAAATCAATTTCCATCCTATGTATTATGTACGAATCAGCAAAGCAACGTAGAATACATACTTGGAGGATGATTGCGAAATATTGATGATGAAAAGATCCCTGGAGGCCACAGCCAGCACGTGAAATGACCGGCCCAACGTATTGGCAAACGTCAAATCATTCACGGGTTCACTGATTTGGTTCAGCGTTTCCACCTTGCCATACCGCCTAATTTCACCAACATCAACAAAAATGAAGAGGTTGAAAAAACGTCGATATTCTTACATACCGTGATAAAAGAGACAGCAATACAATGCCTGGTGATTGTTGCCAAAAAATTTCAAATAAGCACCAACAAAGCGAATTAGCAATGATTGATAAGTCTAACTGCACTTTTTTATTATTCAAGTTTTCTGTTATTTTCCACAATACAACCCCGCGGCTATTTACACACCTGTCAATTCCCAACCACTAACTTAAAAATCATTTCGATAAGAAAATCATGAAAAAAAGGAAAAAAAATGAATCTTTGGTGATTTATTATTCAAGTTAAACTTTTCCGAAGTCTTGAAATCTCACCTTCCATTATCGATCAGCTCGAATAATAGCACCTTCCCGGGCGTCCGATCACTGTTAGCCGTGGGACTTTCGTCGTCGGTGCCGACCGCCAGGATCACCGGCAACAAACGCGACTGACTCCAGGCAATGCAACTCGTCGAGGAGAATTTGGATGAGAATTCATGCAGTGTCTGCCACTGGGACAAATTCGACTGGTCAATATTCTCGTAGATCCGGATCGTCCCGTCCGACGATGTCGTCGCCTGCCAACCAAGCATACAATTTCAAAAATTATTAAATACTACGGCAAAACGCGACAAAAATACATCCAATTCACGAAACATTAATAATCACAGTTTATATTCAAAAAAATTAGCAAAAATCCAAAATAAATATCCATAGTACACTAAAAATCGAGACATCTGCTAAAAATTTTTTAAAATTTTCCAACTGCAAAATGCATAATATCAGATTAAAATTTACTCGATTAAGTTCCGGTTTGTGCGACTTACGATCTGGAGACCCAAGTGTTTTGGCGCAAACTGCACATCCGTCACGGAGCCGCGACTATCCACAAAAGTGGCTTTCTTCACCCAGTGGCTCTGCGCAACGGAGCTTCCATCACCCACTAATTAAATTCACTTTTAAAATCAACGATTCGGGGATATTTTCCAGCGAAGAATTAAAACGCGCACCCGTTTCTTCCCACAGCGCCGCGGTGCGATCAAAGGAGCACGTGGCGATCAACTGACCGTACAGTGGATGGGCCCATGTCACTTTCCACACCGATCCCGCGTGCGTCTACAAATTTAGAAAAAATAGCAATCGGAGTGAACATCAGCGTAAATATCACGGTATTATCACCTGACGTAATACAACCTTCGGTATCGATAAATTATTGAGTAATTTGTCTTCATACGAAGGCTTGCAATATTTACACGAATCAGTACCTCTAGTCACCTAGTGAAACATCAAACAACGTACGCCTTCATAATACAGAAATCATAATAATAAATAATTTGTTCATTTATTTATCAGTATACACTAAATAACACCGTCAAGTCTCTTTAATTAACGATGAAAAAATACGAATAGAATGATGAGTGATGAAAAAGAATTTTTTCAATTTTAAATATAGCGCATGTGGAAATTTCTTGTATGTGAAAGCCTGTTTGAACGCGCTGAAACAGGGTTCTATCATAACGTACAGCGGGAAATACAGACAAACTACCAACCTTCCAATTCGCAGTTATTTTCCATGTATTATCATCTTGAAGATCCCAGATCTTGAAAAAACGTTAAAACCATAAACCCAAGCGACATAAAATGCGGATGATATCGGATTAACCTTGACGCTCTGATCGCTGGAGCAAGTGGCCATCCGACGGCCATAATAATCCAAAGCCACATCATGAATGAGATCTTTGTGCTCAGCCTGGACGGGCATTGCAATGCTCATTCTGAGCACAACCGGGATCGTCACCTCCTCACGACATCAATGACACAATGATAGGGATGGAATTTACACAAGCATTCCCAACGTCTCATACACAATAAACCCGATAAGATCATAAGACGACCGATAAACGTTACAAAACAGTTCAACAATCAACCACTGCGGAAGAGGAACTTTGACTGATGAAATTTTTCACAAAATCAAGAAACTCGCACGCATAGTGATTTCCAGTAAGCGTAAAACCCAATGGAAGCCGTGCCATGGAATTGGATGGCGGGTTGTATACGTATCCACTGAAATTCCAACGTCTTTTCCGGTGGTATTGGAAAGCGCTTTGGCATTTCCGCTTTACCGTATGCAGCACAAAAAAGCAAAACTTTTGCCAGTTTTCACTCGTTTCAGTGTTTTTGTTTCTTGGTGATCTGGATTTTCCAGACTTATGATGATCCGATCATTGTGTTACACATTTACTTACTAATATTTTGAAAGGTGCTATGGATGCTGATGTGGAAAGTATCCAGACAGAGAGTGGAACGGATGTTGTTGCTACTGAGAACAAAACTCCAGAGAACGTGAAATCTGAAGGTTCGTGCGTACTGGTACCTACCTAAAACATTTTTCTTCTGCGAAATTCATCCCTGAATTGATGATGTTGGGGCTGTTTAGAACGCAGTGAACCCTCCTCCCGCAGCCGTCGTCGTCGCAATGCCAAAGCCGCGGCCAAAGCGCGAAAGGAAGCCGAAGCCCGTCTGGGTTCGTCGCTGTCCTCACTTTCCTTCGATCACTCGCAGGAATCGCTCAACCTCGCGGAATCCCATTCCAGCCTGGCCCCCTCCCTCTCCACCCCTTCTGCCAGTACCTCGAAGAAGGGCAAGAGCAAGAACAAAGCCAAACGCCAGAAATCCGATCCCACCCGCCTCATGTCGCCGTTGAAGAACAAATGCCAGCACGAGGAGAAATTCGCCAAAGCATTGGAGACGCGCGAGCAGATTTTGTTGGAGAAGGCCGAGAAAGTGCGACTGCAGAGTAAGAAGGTGGAGGAGGTGCGGCAGGTCAAGGCGGCGGCGCTGCAGCAGATCCGCGATAATATCTCCGATAAGATGCAGCGCGCGGAGCGGATTCGCGAGCAGAAGATCACGACGATTAAGATTAAGGCACGGGATGAAGCTATCAAGGTGGATGAGATTAATTTTATCAATAATATCAAGTCGCGGAATCGGATTATGGATGTCATGGAAAAGGTACACAGTAAATTCGTTAGTAATTATTTTAATTGAATTTTTAACGTATTAATAAATTCGTAAAAAATTTTTTATCAAATTTTCTAATGGCGCGAGTGTGTAAATCTTTTTGCATCTTTTAAAGTGTTGTTTTTTTATTTTTCATAAATTTAAAAGAAGTGAAAAAGCATTTAGGGTAAATTTTTTTCCGTTGTAATTTTTCTTTCTCATGTTTGGGTTTTTGCGGATATTAGATTGGAGATTGCATTTTGATTTTTTCTACTATCCACTGTACTACGAGATGTTCACCATTAAGCACGGCCCGTAATTTCCTACCGCGAAGATGGTAAAAATTTGAAGAACAAGCCAGAACGAAGCAGATTAGTTTTAAGTGTGGTTAATGCAGAATTTTTGGGAAACTATGATTCCAGAAGCAGAACGTTTTAATGCTGTAAGTTGTTGGCACTTATTTCAAGTACTATAACAAATAAGTTATTTGTTATAGTACCTGCCTTGATTTTCACTGACTTAAACTATTTTATAGCGGAAGAAAAGGTTAATGAAATCGTATTGCGATTTTTGAGATCGCTTTCAAATTTCACTGGTTGTTTTTGGCTCTTGATTTTCTTTGTCGCATGTTTTTACTTTTGAGCTGTTTTACCGTTTTATGTGTTTTGTTGCACATTGCTCAATCTGTTTTACCAACGTTCAGGAACAAAAAATCGTGTTGATACGTAATATTGTACGTACTCTACGTAATACGGTGGTTAATTCTTTGGAAAAATTTGCATTATAGCTTTTACAGCAGAACATTGTTTCTGTCTTCACAAAATTGAAAAAAAAACGGGAAAAGGTTTTCACGCTAAAATTATTATTAAATTTTGTTGTAATCTCTTCGGGATTTTATCGTGCAGTTCTTTTGGTTATCTGGGCAGCAAATTGCTTGGAGTTGCTAGTGCACTGTACTACGAAATCTTTATAGCTTGACATGAATCGTACTTTCTTCCCGGAAAGGCAGAGGTAAATTTACTGTCCATTGTTGAATTGTTATTTTCTATCGTATCTCTTTTGCTGTGGAAAGCCTTTCTTCCGTTTTACAGTATATAATTTTGTATTTCACTTTTTTACAATCTTTTACCGGCGTTTAGGAACAGAAAGTCGTGTCGCGGCAGCAAATTCTGGAGGAAGAACGCGCCAAGCGTTACGAAGAGAACAAAGCCCGCGACGCCGCTGTGGAAGATCGCCGGCGTCAGCAGGAGCTGGACCGTGCGGCGAAACTGTCGGAAATGGAGGAGAAGAAGCGCATCAAAGTGCAGAAAGTCGAACAGCACGTCAACGAGCGTCTGCAGCAGGTGCGCGAGAAAGCCCGCGACCGGGCGCTGAAACTCTTCGCCATCGAGAACGCGCAGCAGGAGAACCGGAAAACCCTACAGGAAAAGATCCAGAAGAAGGTGGAGATCAGCACCCGCCTGCACGAGGAGCGCATCGAGTTGAAGCGGCTGCGGGCGCAGTATCTGCGCAGTCCGCGGCCGGGCTCGGCGGATTCGGCCAGCCACCTGCCGGATGTGGAGACGTCCAGCCGGTATCGGTCGCACACGACGGAGGTGTCGCCGCGGAAGGATAAGGTCATGAAGGGGAAGATTGAGATGCAGGTGGAGATTAACCATATTGCCGCGCGCTATGAGAAAATGGGGAAGAAACTGCGGACTAAACTGCTCAAACGAGACGGACCCGTTGAACCGGTATGATTAGTTAATTAACAAATTCTTTACAGAATTAATCGTACGAGAATTTAAAAAAAAAATTAATTCTGAAAGAAAGAATTTGAATCAAACGAAACTGCGAAAAACGGCTGATCGACAGTTTTGAAAACAAATTAATCGTACGAGGATTCTAATTTGTGTTCAGAACTGTCGATCGGCCGTTTTTCGCAGTTTCGTTCGATTTTCGGCTGAATTCCAGTCGAGTTTTCAGAAAACAGCATAAACATTTCTGCTCGACTGTTAGTAATTTAGTACATATGGACAGTACATTAGAAAGTTATGGACTGTTTGTGAAAACGCTGACTGCAAATTGTGACTGCAAGCTGTGATTCTGCGAAAACCAAGCAGTTCTATGGTTTTTTTTACTTTTTAATAACAAATTCAGAGGCAGTTTTATTACACTTGCTGCTTCCTTTTAAACGAATAAGAATACATTAAAAATTTGTAAGTTTTGGATGGTTCAACAAAAGATGTAAACTGATTTTTAAGGACATTGTTATGCACATATGTTTGTTGGTCAGCCGTTTTTCCAGCTTTGTGCCATTACTCTACGTCGTCACCATATTACAGTGTAGTGCCTACTGGCAAAGTTGTAACCTAATATTTCTTCGTTATGTCGGAACAGATGGTTTGTCAAAATATCACACAGTTACCCAACCAACCAACCTGATGACAAAGTTACAGTGATCTAGTGGTAGTTTTTATGAAAACCAGCCACTTGAAATCTTCGCAGATATTTCTGTTGCTGCCTTTTCTGATTTATCTCGTTGCTGACAATGTGAGCACATGATTGGATTTTGCAGGTGATACGGCAGGCGAAATGGGAAAGCGGAGATGTGTCGTCTGCCTTCGAATTGTTGGAGTGTTTGAAATACGCTACCGGTTGGGGGTCGTGGACGGCGCAGATCACCCAGACTCTGGAGCCGTGCCTGGAACGACTGGCCAAACAGCTCGTATCGGCCAACAGATCCAAAGATACCATGATGGTGAGTATGCTTACCAGGTGTCACGGTTAAAATTTGCTGTCCGGTTGGCTTGGCTTAAACAGTAAGACCTAACTCTTCGAACATTACTGTTAAGATTTATTAAAAACAACTCGGCGGAAAAGCGTTTCTGCTGTTGTATGGTCACAGCATAATTCGTTTCATTTTATCATAATAATATTATTGACAACGGTTAGGAAGTTTTAGGAGTTTCCGTGCCACATTCTACGTCTGATCCATGTTTGTCGTTGTAGAGTTACGTGGTCGATAACTTGATAGTGCTAAGCGGCGACAACTTAAATTGTAAAACTGGTAGCAAGTTTATACTTGCTCTTCCTTTTTTGACTGGGCCTGTCTTACGCGCGGGTGTCAATTTTTTTAATTTTTGAACTATTTTCACTCGTAATTGAAAATGTGAAATGCCCCGTTGGTTGTTTAATTATTTTTTGAAATTTTGTTGCAGGTTGTAGAATTAAAACGCGGCATTTTGCGCATCGTGGAGCAATCGGTCGGGATCATTGGTCTGTGCATGGGCGGAGACCGGCCGACCAATGTCCCGGAGAAGCCCATCTGTTCCGTGTACAATTTACTGTATACATTGCTGGCGTATGATGCCTTCCGCTTCCTCCTGGCGACCGATGTCTTTGTGGGTTTGGTGGAACAGGCCAAGTACTTCAGTGAATTGCTCGTGTTTGGCAAGACCAATGGCAAGCCGAAAGTTCCCGTGGCGGTCTTTGATAGCTGTTTCAAGGTACAAGAAAAAACAAATTTGAATCTTACTGTAGTTCTTGTTTAGAAACATCACTTTTACAGAGCATGTACGTAAAAGCTTTACTATAACTACAAATTTATTTATATTATAAACGTTAAAACGTGTTTTAAATTCGTTTAAGCAGCTTTCGAACTAACTATCTGTACAGACGGTAGACAGCGTAGTACAAGGGGTTGCTCCAGATGGCCTGGAGTTGAATGTTATCGCTTTATGAAACCAAACTTAAATGAGTGATTCGCAATGTTGTTTGAAAGGGTTTATCGGTTTCTAAGTTGAACATAACATTTTTGCGTTCATTTGCTGGGATAACATTTTTTGCGTTCATTTGCTGATATAATTTGTTTAAATTTGCATAATTTTAATTAGTGTCCAGCAGAGAAATTTTTGTACATGTCGGGGCCTTTACTGAATAATAATCATTAATCTTTTGCTTTTTATTTACCGCCAGAAAACTGTTTGTGTTTTCGTTTTGTTGAAAACTGTGATGTGCTCTTTATGCGCCTTTAATTATTTTATTTATTACATACATTCGGGTTTCTGTATTCTGCAGGCGTTGGAAGTTATGTTCCGCAGTTTCGAGCATTTCTGCCGCAAAGACATCCCCGACGCCATCAGCGAGCGCATCACCGACTTTATCCGTTATTTCATGACCTGCGGCATCCTGCAGATGATCGGCCGCTATCACACCCTGCAGCTGCACCAATCCGACGGGAAACTGCCCTATCTCCGGCGGAACTTCCAGTTCACCACCTGGATCAGTCGACTGATGTCCGCCCGCAAGGCAGCCGTTACCCAGGGCGACAAATTCAACGCCGATCTGGACTGCTGTGTACAGTACGAACTGTTGGTGTTCCGCGATGTCCTCAAATCGGCCCCGGTGTTCGGCAGCGTGACGCTGCTGTATGATTTGTTGCGATTGGGACGGTCGCGGCCCCGTTGTCTGGAGTCGTGTCAGGCGGAGATTCCCGAGGATTCCTACCGGGTGGCCGTGGATGTGGTGCGGATGTTGAGCTGTGTGGGAAACGCGGATCTCGTCCCGCTACAGGTATTTTTTAATTACTGTGTCAGTTTTTGAAATTGTTTTACTAATTATTTACTTTTTTGAATTTTTTTAAATTAGTCACGGTGCTGTTTGCCGGCGTTTGGTAAGCCGCTTCTGCATTTGTACTGACGCTTTCGTAGTTGAATGGCTCAATGATCTTTATGTACCTGTACATGAGCTGCATTATGCATATCGGGTTCATAACAAATTGCGTCTAATGCTCTGTTAAATGTTAAAAATTTTTACGGACTGTTTAATTTTTACTAATCTGTTTCACCGTTATTTTTCTTATAACGTTATGTTACCGATGGTTATGTCAGTTTTTTGCTGTTTTTTTTTTAAATTTCTTTAATTTTCCAAATTGCGGTTTGGTTTTCTTGTGCTTGTAAGCTGTAACGCTTTTTTGAATACTTTCCGGTGTTTGTATGAAATGGCTGCGTTGAAAAGCGATCCAAATTAAACGGGCTACAGTATATGCAGTTTCTTTATGAAAACTTGAGATGTTTTCGCAGTAATTTGATTTGCTGATTGGCAGCGGTTTGGTTTTGTGGTCGTTTGGTAGTTATGACCTGTTGTTACCGGCGTGTATCAGTTATTGCGGTGTTGTAGTGAAAGGGCTGTGCCCAGGGTAAGTTGAAAGGTGGACGGAATCCTTCAGTTTTGATAATAAGCGCCGCTAATTAATTTATTTGATTTATTCTGAGCATACAATTTTTATCTCTCTTTTTCTTGGATTGAGAAAGTTAGATATTGCGTAAATTGCAGCTCCGTTGTCGATTTTTAGGCTTCCGTCTGTAAGGCATAAAGTATGTTATCGTCAGTTTTAACTTGTGTTTATCAACCAGCGGGCTTCCTTACAGACCGCGTTTCGGGATTTAACCTTGAGCATTCAGTTCCGGCACATCTGCTCCTTCCTGATCGACCACTGTCTGACCTTTCTGGAGGAGCGGGCCTACCTGCTGCACGACGTCGTGCTGCTGATCGGGCAGTTCGCCTTCTTCAGTCCGGAACATCAGGACATTGTGCACGCCGGGCATCCGCCGAATCTCCTGCAACAGCTGGCACGCTTCCCGGTCGAGTACTTGACGGTGCGCATTCTACAGGATATTCTGCTGCCCACGCTGATTATCTGCTGCTATCAGAATCGGAAAAATTGCTCTATTTTGGCGGAGGAAATGGATCTGAATCATTTGATGCTATATATCAAGGTGAAGCATTGTTGTGACTGCCGTCCTCACAGATACTGTCAGATGTGTTGAGGAAATTTTAGTTCTTTTGTCTTTCCTAATTATATTTCTTGATATACTTAATTTTCTAAATTAAGCTTTTTCATGATGTTTTTTTAACCATTTTCTTAATGAATTTAATTTTTTTCTATTCATTTACGGTACATATAAGCGATTACAGCGGCTAATTTGCTGTAATTTTGACTTACTTTTCTCCCCAGCGAAACCCGTTTTTCTTAGCTGAAGAGTTGTGTTTTTTTAGTGCTGTGAAATGAATTTATGGCCAAGCAGAACAATGGAGGACCATCTTCGCGTTGCACTTTCCGCTACACCGCGTTATGGAAAAATGTTCAAAGATCACTTCGAAGAAGGTAAAGACAGCCGTTTCGACTTAGGATTGCTTAACGGTATGTTAAGCAGGCGTTAAATTATAATATAATAATTGGTGTTATATGTACAATTTGTGTGTTTGTAGATTTCTTGCGGTACGCGTTGGAGAACCGGTTTCCCCATTCCGAGTGGAATGCAGCGGCGGCGTTTTTCTATCAGAGTTCCGAGGAAGATGAGCATCTCCTCAATCAGCCCGAGGAAAAGCAACAGGATACAAAGGAATTCTTTGAGGAAATGTGCCTGTTACTGGAGTAATCTCCGCTGAAAAATCGATATGTGATCTGTACAATGAATCTTCTCTGCATGAACGACTCGGTATCACTTGTTTGACTACTGTGATTATTTTTCTGCGATGGGTCTGTAAATGTGTATTGCATTCGGTTTGCAAAAATTAAATTAATTTCAATAAAGCTTTCGCAACGAAACCGAAAATCTTATCAAACAATTCTTCCGGTTGATCAAACCCAAACAATTCACTGCCGCCACAGTTTATTAAAGTCGGTTAAATAACGGTGTGTTTTGTTAGCATTGTTACGTGTCAGGCTACCAAGGAACGGAATAATTACGACGGAAGAAAGGTAATAAAAACTACCGGAAATATATATCTGTGAAGTTGCCAGAACAATTTTCATCAGAATCAGAACATTTTTCATCAGTTTGGTGCTGAATTAGGCGGTTTCACGCGAACAACGGAACATCCAAAATTGCACATGCCGCGAGGTAGGTGGCTTTCGTGCACCGTCCACTGGACAGAATCTTCGTCGTAGACTTCGATGGAGTCATCGGCACCGAAGTTGTACCCTCCCAGGGCGTACATTTGTTGTTGCACAAGCCGCCCCTCAAGGTATCTACGTTGATTCAAACTCCCTGTGCAAAATTCAGTTAGACCTCGTTCCGAAGTTTGTCAAGGCTCACTGCTTTGAGAAACAGGTTACCAAAGCATTTTATACCTTTCATCTACCAATAACGTAAATCAGACCGTTGGGACCCACACATGCCAAATACCAAAACCGCGCCGTCGGCATGCTGGCCAGTTCGCTCCAGGTATGGGCTTGCGGATCATAGCGGAGTGTCAGTGTGGTACTGAGTGTGCTTCCACCGGATGTCAAACCTCCAGATGCGTACAGATGACCGTTGTATGCCACTGCGGCGGGTCTATACAGCCGTACCGGCAGATCAGCTACACCACCCCACCGACCTACAGAAGGATCGTATTGCTCCACGGCTTGCAACACGGTGCGACTTGGAGTTCCACCAACTGCGTAGATGCGGTGGTTCAGGGCGACGATTGAATGTCCGTTGCGGTCGTACTGCATCGGCGCCACTTCGCTCCACAGGTCGCGATCGAGATCATAGCGGTGGACGCGTCGCAGGAAGTTGCTGTGAATGTCGCCTGATGACTATCCGCAACACGCAAATACGTGCTTGTCGTCCACATTTACCAGGCCGGCGCCACATACAGGATATGGTAAACTCTTCGTCAGCGTCCACGTTGAACTAACGGAGTCGAAAAACTGCGCGCAGTCCAGAGTCTGGAATCGCTTGATCTCTCCGCCGAGGCACATAATGATTTGCTTGGAACCTGAAAACCCAGTCTCCAAGAACTTATTACTGGCATAATTGTAATAACTAGCAAAATTCCCTTGGTGAACTAAGGTTAATAATTTGCGACTTTATATGCAGTAATGTGCAAATAATTATTATGCAGTATAAGTACCGAATTGTATCGATTTTACCGTACGACTTGTGTGAATTATCAAGGAGCAATGCAGAATTCAGTAAACGTTCTATATCTTCCGCTTTCCATAACTGTCTTCCGTTGACGGCTGGTTCCTCTGGTTTGGGAGCATTATCAAATAACGTCATGTACCATTCCATGTGACCCTGGGCTAAGGGAGCGCGGACGCAAAAACCGCAGAACCGGGCGAATGTCCGGCCAGGGTCGGACCGGGTCGTGCTTTAGCCAGCGCACAACGGTTCCCAGAACTTCGTCCTTCTTTTCAACGCACAGACAGTCTTCACACAGCAAATCGATCAACTATATACAATAAAAACGAAAGCGTTTCAATGAAGCTGCGAGCGCATGCTTGAACAGCGCAGCTGAGCGTATATCGAATTGCATCGTACTGGGACGCGATCATTACCAAACAGCTGAAACGGATCGCTAATGAAAGCGGCAAAGTCTTTTCCTGGTTTTTATCGAATTGCATAAACTCGAAGGTTCGCGAAATGTCTGAAAAATTCTGCAGGACCATTGATTCAGCCTTGTCTGTTAGGATTGTTCGGTGCATCGATAACTTTGTTGTGTTGTTGTAGTGGACGGGCTGTGTTAGGCAACAGGCATCCACGTGTCCATTAATTTGTAAACGGGCATCCTACGGTTTCGATAATTAGTATTTAAACGCTGAAAGATATTTGATTTGTACAGAATGCCTAATTTTTATTACTCTCTTTCTTTGTTTGAACGGTTAAGATATCGCGTAAATTGAAGTTCCGTGTCGATTTCTAGGCCAAGGTTTTTCAAGCACAACCTTTGATTTTTAACCTGGGTGTATTTGCAGTAAACTGGCTGCCTTGCAGACGGCATTTCGGGATTTAACCTTGAGTATTCAGTTCCGGCACATCTGCTCCTTCTTGATCGACCACTGCCTGACCTTTCTGGAGAAGCGGGCCTATTTATTGCACGACATCTATTTATTGCACTTGACATTTATTGCACGACATCTTGCTGCTGATCGGGCAGTTCGCCTTCTTCAGTCCGGAGTATCAAAATATTGTGCATGCCGGGCATCCGCCGAATCTCTTACAACAGCTGGCACGTTTCCCCGTCGAGTACCTGACGGTGCGCATCCTGCAGGACATCGTGCTGCCCACGCTAATTTTTTGCTGCTGCCTAAATCGGAAAAACTGCTCGATTTTGGCGGAGGAAATGGATCTGAATCATTTGATGCTTTATATCAAGGTGAAGCAATGTCGTATACGTACTACTGTTCTCACGAATACTGTCAGATGTTGACCAAAATATAATTCCTTTGCCTTTCCTAATCATTTTTTTTTATTTACTAAATGTTTTAAATTCTAACTTTTTAATTAATTTTGTCTTTATATTTTATTCATTTATAAGCGATTAGAGCGGCTAATTTGCTATAATTTCGATATACTTTTCTCCCCAGTATGACCCTTTTTTTAAGCATAAGAGTTGTGGTTTTTTAGTGCTATGAAATGAATTTATGGCCGAGCAGAAGTATGGAAGACCAAATTTGCGTTGCACTTTCCGCTACACCGCGTTATGAGAAGATGTTCAAGGATCATTTCGAAGAAGGCAGCCGTTTCCACTTAGGACTAGTTGGGCGGTTTCACACGTACAACCGTACATCCAAAATTGTACATGCCCTGTGGTAGATGGCTTCCGTGCACGGTCCAGCGGTCAGAATGGTCATCGTAGACTTCCATGGAATCGACGCCTTCTCTATACCCTCCCAGGACGTACATTTTGTTGTTCGCACAAGCAATCCCGACATAGCATCGACGTTTGTTCAAGCTCCCTGCGAAAAAAAAGCCAGTTAGAGTGTTTTCCCGAAGAGTCTAAACTCGTGTGTGCTCATTTTACTGGAACAGGATACGGAAATCATACCTTTCCTCAGCCACTGGTTTGTCGATGTGTCATACGCTTCCACGGTGGATAGAATGTGGTTCAGTTCTGAATACTGCACGGTCGATCGGCCCCCTAACAGGTAATAATAAGCAATAAAATTAAAAAAATAATCAAAACATTCAGCAAATTAAATTATTCATTCGTTAAATTTCATGGAATATAATGGATATTAGCAAATTTTTACCAATAACATATATCAGACCATCCGGGCCCACACACGCCGTACACCAGAACCGCGGAGTGGGCATGCTAGCCAGCTCACTCCACGTATTTTTTTGTGGATCGTAGCAGAATGTGGTACTGACAACGCTTCCATTGGCTGTCAAGCCTCCGAAAGTGTAAAGACCACCGTTGTGCGCCACCGCGGCGAACCAATACAGCGGTACCAGCAGGTCGGCTACAGAGTGCCATCGATCTATAGCGGGATCATACCGCTCGACGGCTTGCAGAACGGTGCGGGTGCCGCCTTGAACTCCACCAATCACATAGATGTGATCGTTGAGAATGATAGTTGAATGTCCGTTGCGGTCGTAATGCATTGGAGCTACGTCGCTCCACACGTCGAGGCTGAGGTCATAGCGGTGGACGCGTCTCAAGAAGTTCCGGTGGATGTCGCCTGATGAATATCCGCCGCACACAAATAAGTGCTCATCGTCCACATTCACCAGACCGGCGCCAAATACAGGATATGGGAGACTTTTCTTTTTCGTCCACGTCGAGCTGACCGGGTCGAAATAGTGCACGCCGTCAAGCGGCGTAATTCCTACAACTTCCCCACCGGCGCAAACAATGATTTGGTTGCAACCTTTATGACCAAACATTCTCAAGAATCAATTAAGTTGTTATCGCCTCACGTACTCGTAGCAACTTTACGGTGTAAACTTTATGTATCATTTTAGCAACTTGATTTACTGTCGTAGACCAAAGTTTACCGTAACGCTTGCGTGGACGACGCTGCGACTCATCACCCACTGTTGAAGATTCTAGTAGATGTACTATATCTTCCAGTTTAAATAACGTTTCTTCATTGGCGGTTGATCCATCTTCCGGGGCATTATCGAACAAATTCAGGCACAAATACTGCTGACCAAACGATGAGCTGAGGAATCGTGGACGTACGTACCGCAAAATTTCACGAATGTGCGGCCATCGTTGGTCTGTGTCGTGTTTCCGCCAGCGTATTACAGCACCCAGAACTTCGTCTTCATTTTCAGCGCAGAGACCATCCATACGTAACAGCTCGATCAACTATACAAGACAACAAAGATTGTTTCAACAACCGGTTACAAGCCTGCTCAAAGAAAACGCCGAACCTGGTCTTTATTCACGTTCAGAAACTCGGAGCTTTGTGAAATTACTGGAAATTTCTTCAGAACCATGGTCTTTGCGTTTTCCGTCAGGCGTGGTCGGTGCGCCGCTGTAAGAGGGCAGCAAAAGGTCATCAAGCAGTTGGATGGATCCAAGTTTTTCTCCATGTATTCCCAGCATACATTAGTAACTGGACGAAAATCGAGAAAATGTGCAGCGACAAGAAGAGCGTGCACATTCTCATCGCTGATAATAATGTCCGAAGAATAACAAAACTCGATCAAGCTGCAATCAGCGGTAGACTGGTTTTAGCCAGCATTCGGAATGACTGTTAGCACAAACAAGCCAGTTTTTGCCACACTGAAGTAATAGTTACGAAAACCATGATCAGTAATCACTAACAGGTGCTGCGTTGCAGTAATTATGCTGATAATGCATATGTGTTGACTTCGAATGCAACGCAGAACTTAACTCGTTCGAGTATATTATGCAGTGACGTAAAAGTGTCGTACGTCTTAAGAACTTCACTGGGCACCTCCTTCAGTCGAACTTCCTTTTCTTGGCACTCTCTCAGACCGATGGTAAAAATGTTGAGGAAGTACGTGCTGTGAGCACTGAGGACCAGACGATGGCAGGGAATCCCAACGGAATCCTCTTCTTGACCTTTAACAACGACATCACACAGGCTCTCACAGCTGGGAGTGTCACGCAGCACACGCAGCATACTGACGAAACGGGCTTGATCCATTGGCAGTCTGACATAACGGCCCTCCTGAGGTAAAACACTTGCAGCTTCTTCTCTAATTGGTGGATTATTTGCCATTGCCATAACTGATTCGGAAAAGTAAAGCGGTTTGCAAAGTCACAAACTCGACATAAAGTGGTACAGAAATGGAAACAAACGGTGCTAACAAAACCGTTGCTGTTTTAAAGTTGTGCTGATGTTTACAAGAAATGTTAGCAGCAGAATAGCAGATTAATTTTTATCAGTATCCACAGTGATAGCGTAATCGGCCACTATAAACAAAGCAAAGATACTGAATTTGTACCTTTGAGCAGTGACTCGTGTATACAGTGTGCATCATCTGTGCACCCACGGGAACTTTGAGTTCTGAAGAAAATGAGCGTGAACGACAAGACTTGGCAATAAATAAGTTGGTATCACTTGTTTGCCCACATTAGTTTTCGGTTGTCGGGTTTATAAAATTAATGTGTACTGCAGTCTTTCAACTGGTATCGGTACTGCATCGTTTTAATAAGATGCGTTCATTTCAGTAAATACTTTCAATCCGACACAAAAACGCTCTCAAATAACGGTTTAAGCTGATCAAATCGAAACACGATAATTCATTGCCATCGTATTCTGGTAAATTCAGGAGAAATTAACTTCTGTTCCCTGCATTGTTACGTGCTAAGGCCACTAACCGAGAGCGAATAATGTAGACTAATTATGTAGTTATGACGAAGGAAAGCCAATAAGAAACAACCGGAAAAGATACCGCAAAATTATTAGTCGTATCACTCGTATGCAACTAATGTAAGATCTGGATGATGAATCTGACATGCATGAAAGACAAGACCTGGTATTTCAGCACTTATGACTACTTTGTTTATTTTTCCTCGATTGGGTCTGAGTATTATATGTGCATAATTGTACTGCATTGAGCTTTGATAAGATGGATATCCGATATTGAAAACCTTGCTTTCACGCCGACAAAAGTTCTCCTGAACAACGTTAAAAGCAATTAAGTACGAGGTAATAACAGCCCAAGAATTTATCGCCATTGAAAACTAATAACATTTATGCCTGACGTTGTTACGTGTCTGGGTTACCAAGAACTGGGTGTGACAAAAAAAACATATTAAAGAATTATTAGGAATAAGTCTTCTTTCAACCATTTCGTATGGGTCCAGGAGGTTTCCTGCGCACTACGGCACATCCAAAATTGCACATGCCTCGCGGTAGGCGGCTCCCCTGCACAGTCCAGCGGTCAGAATCTTCGTCGTAGTCTTCGATTGAATCATCGGTCATGCCACCTGTGAACCCTCCCAGGACGTACATTTTGTTATTAACACAAGCAGCTCCGACATGGTATCGACGTTTATTTAAACTACCTGTGTAAAAGGCAGTCAGACGGTTAGGCCGTTCCGAAATTAGTACAGCTGTTAACCCACAAGCTCATTCTTTTTGAAACAGAATACGAACCATACTTTTCGTTAGCCACTGGTTTGTAGAAGTGTCATACGCCTCCACGGTAGATAGAATACTATTACTGATTCCTACGTCGATTCTCGACATTCCCCCTGAAAGATCCTAAATACAGTAAATTATCACACCGGATACTGTGCGCGAATACGGTACTCGTACATAGCAAGGAAGTGTGGAACGATTTGTTCGTTCATTAACAGTTGTCTCGTGCGACAGTTACTGAACTTACACGCCAGTTAAAAGCGATCAGAATATTTTCGTTCGGTTGTAAATACTGTAACAGCAGCCGGTTTGACTGGTGTTCTGGTGGATTGGTTAATCCACCTTACCGCGATCTGTTCTTAGGATGTATACAGGTTGTCTACAGGTTGTCTACAAGGTGTCTACGGATGTCTACTGCTGTATACAGGCAGACCTTCTTAGACTCAGCTCGATGCTCTGCCTGTATACACCGGTAGTCATCTGTAGACAACTCGTAGGCACCACTGTAGACATACTGTAGTCACCTGGTTTCTTAGGTTTTCTTAGGATGTATACAGGTTGTCTACAGGGTGTCTACCGATGTCTACCGCTGTATACAGGCAGACCTTCTTAGACTCAGCTCGATGCTCTGCCTGTATACACCGGTAGTCATCTGTAGACAACTCGTAGGCACCACTGTAGACATACTGTAGTCACCTGGTTTCTTAGGTTTTCTTAGGATGTATACAGGTTGTCTACAGGGTGTCTACAGGTTGTCTACGGATGTCTACAGTGACTACAGGAAGGAAAAAAACGTCCCAGTTTTTTTCTTTGGTACGAAACGTTCCATATATACGATCTGTCGGCTGTTAGTGTGGGAAAGGCTGGCACGGTTGGCAGTGATGCTGACCGGAAGCTGACTACCGTTTACATTGTGACAACGGTGGGAGATGTACGATCATCCCATGGCGGTTAAGCAACACAACACAAGGTCATCGCAAGTGTTCATCAGCAAGTACGCAAGATTCAGCGAGCAAAGCAAGCTGAGGAGCAAGCACGTATAAGCGTGGGGCAAGAAGCGCGGAAAGCGCGTAGCAAAAAGTGCAATAAGCACAAGGGCAAGAAGCGCGGACGGCGCGGAGCAAGATTCGGAGCAAGCTGCAGCAAGACCAATTTCAAGATGTTTCTGACCTTGAGATGCGGTCGGTAAAATGTAGGAAAACAAGGATTCTGATCTTCATACAACAACCAATAATCAGTAAAGAAAAGCAATCAACACTCCTACTGGCGGTACAATGTAATGTGATCTATCGCTACAATACTCTGTACATACTTATCCGTACCGGTAGGCGGTAGCACACAGTACTGCCTTACCAAAAACGTAGATCAGGCCGTCCGGACCCCCACATGCCGAACACCAGAACCGCGCCGTCGGCATTCCGGTCAATTCGCTCCAGGCATCGGTTTGTGGATCATAGCGGAGTGTAGTACTGAGAGCGCGTCCATCGGGCGACAAACCTCCAAACGTGTACAGATGACCGTTGTGTGCCACCGCAGTGCACCGATACAGCGGCACCGGTAGGTCGGCTACAGCATGCCACTTGTCGACAGCGAAATCATACCGCTCAACGGCTTGCAGTATGATGCCACCACGATCTCCACCAATTGCGTAGATGCGGTCGCTGAGAATGACAACTGAATGTCCGTAGCGGTCGTAACGCATCGCTGCCACTTCCTTCCAAAAGTCGAAATCAAAGTCATAGCGATAGACGCGTCGACAGCAGTATGTACTTGGCGAATATCCACCGCACACAAATAAGTACTTATCATGCAGGTTAACCAGACCGGCGCCGCATACGGGATATGGTAAACTCTTCTTCTGGGCCCAGCTGGAGCTGATTGGATCGTAATATTGCACACAGTCCAGCGTCTGATGCGACCGGATTTCTCCGCCGACGCACAGAATGACTTGGATGGAACCTTTACTGACCCAAACAATCTTAACTTTGCAGCAATTTCGGTAACGACATCAGAAGGAATTCGCTTTAGTAAACTAATCTCATCAATTACGTATACTGTACTTCTGCAAGCAGATCACGGTATAATAAACCGAACCTTACCGTACGCGTACGACGTGCGTGGCCAAAATTGTGAATTATAACCGATAACTGTTGACAACAATAGACGTTCTATATCTTCGGCTTCGAATATTTGTCTTCCGTAGAAAAATTTGGAGCTGGTGCGTCTTCGGAAGTGTTATTAAAGATGTTCATGTAACACTGATGGAACGGAGAGCTGAGGAATCGCGGGCGAACGGTCCATAACACTGCACGAATATTTGGCCAGCGTCGGAGCGGATCGTGCTTCAGCCAGCGCAAAACGGCTTCCAGAATTTCGTCTTCTTGATCAACACATAGATCATCCGCACATAGGATTTCCATCAACTAGCAAAAACGAAGCATCTTATTAGACTTTTGGCAACACGTTAGCGTATGCTTGAACAGTGCAGAGCATATATGGGTTTAATTTGCTCAATGGAGAGGCGACCAATGTCAATCAATTAAACTTAATGAAAGCCGCAAACCTGGTCTTTGTTGACTTCCATAAACTCGAAAGTATGCGAAATGGCCGAAAAATTCTTCAGAAGCATTGGCTTAACTTTCTCTGAAATACGTGGTCGATGCGCCGCGGTAAGAGGGCAGTACAAGGTCATCAGACAGTTGGATGGATGCAAGCGATCCTCTATGAATTCGCAGCATGCACTGGCAACAGGAAGAACGTCCAAAAGATGTGCAGCGGCAAGAAGAGGGTGTACATTCTCATCGTTGATAATGAGGTCCGAGGAATAACAGTAGTCGATCAACCTGCAATCAGCGGGATTAGGGGGATAGCCACGATTGAGAACGACTGTTAGGTGGCAGCATACCATTACTATACTCTGTAGTCAAATTCGAGTGAATGCAGTACAGTAAATGTACGTACAGACTCTGTACGTACTGTACTGTACTCACTAGAATTTGGAATCCCCTAAACCTACCCTAGCTTTCTGGGTGTAAAAGATGCCGACGCCTAGTGCGGTCGTCTATCGCAAAATTGATAACAAAAGTAAAGGCACATTTTTATATTGCAAGCTACAAAGTAAGAATATTAAACACTGGAGAGCAGGAGAAAATGACAACATTTTAATGCAACAATGCAATAGCAATTACCGTACATTTTAAGAACTTCCGTTGGCACATTTTCTAAGCGAACTTCCTTTTCTCGGCACTCTTTCGGATTGTGGTAAACATGGTTCGGAAGTACGTACTGTGCGCACTGAGAACCAGACGATGACAGGGAATTCCAGGGGAATCATCATCACAGGGGGATTTTTTACCTTTAACGACGAAGACACTCCAGGCAGCATCTCGCAGCCTGGAGTGTCACGCAGCACCCGCAGCATGCTGACAAAGCGGGTATGATCCATTGAGAATCTGACACCCTCCTGAGGAGACGCACGGCTCGTTACTTCCCCAAACAGTACGCTATTTGCCATGGCTCATTCCGAAACAAATTTAAGTCAGCAATTTAATAAGCTCTTAATAGTGGAAATGGAGAGATGGTACTATAACCATAAGCTTCAATCCAAGTTGTGCTGGCATTTGATAACTAGGTCCTGGTACCATATGTTACCAGTGGAGTAAGTTTTATCATATGGACCCAGATAGCGTAATCGGATACGAGTGTGTTAATCGCAAAGATACAGGATTTCAAAACTGATAGCTTCCTAATGTAATTTTTAAACAAAAGCGTCTGGTTGTAGCCGTAAGGATTATGCGTAAATCGAAATCAATGACGAGAATAGGAATTTGTAAGTTGTGCATAGGGTTCAAACTCGTAGTCGTAGTTAAAGTACTATTCAGTTTTAACGAACTCGTTATAAGATATGAACTACTGTATTTATTTGTTTACGTGACCGCCCAGAATCACCAGGGACCGGCCAGAGGCTTTCCTCTCGGAAAAATTCCATTTTTTGTGTGAAGACAGATTAGGTAGCGGGAATACCTAAAAAAGTAGTTTCACCAGAAATGGTCCGGTGGGCGTGGCCAAAACCAATTTTGAATTTTAGATGATGCAATTATCTACGTATATACAGAGCTACATATATCTATATATCTGTATAGTCTATGTATGAATTCCACTTATTACAGTACTTCCATCAAACTGAAGTGCGAGAATTTATTGCATTCCAGTTTGTTAAACTCGGTTGACCAACAGCGCGAACTGTTGAAGCATTATTACTTGCCAAGGTCACTAACCAAAAACGGCCTAGTTATGACGAAAGGAAACAAATAGAAACCACCAGAAAAAAAAAGGATACATCTATTTTCACCCGTATTGTAATAAATGAGGAGGTTTCACACGCACAACGCCACATCCAAAATTGTGCATGCCTCGGGGTAGGTGGTTTCCGTCCACTGTCCAACGATTAGATTCTTCGTCGTAGACTTCGATGGTATTGTCGACGCCATCGTTATACCCTCCCAGGACGTACATTTTGTTGTTAACACAAAGAGCTCCGACAAGGTATCGACGTTTCTTCAAACTCCCTGTGTAAAACGCAGCTAGACCATCTTCCGGAAGTTTGTACAGGTTCATTGTTTTTTGAAAAAGAATACGAAAACATACCTTTCCTCAGCCATTGGTTTGTAGAGGTGTCATACGCTTCCACTGTGGTCAGAGTGTTGCTATTTCCTCCTTCGACTTTCGACAATCCCCCTAAAAGTTCGTAACTCAACTTCGTAATACACCAAAACACCGTGCCATGCACCTATAGTCAGTAGTCACTACGTAGTGGCTCGTTCGTAGTGAAGCCTAGTCTAGGCATAACAGGTTAACAAAGGCTTAACAGGATAGAACAGAGGAAGTGTTTCTGTGATAAAATCTGTTTTATATTGGTATTAAGTTAATACCAATATAAAACAGATTTTATATTGGTATAAAACAAACTTATGGTTAATACTATTAACTATAAGTTTGTACGTGTATCGCGATAAATTAATCTTACCAATTACATAGATCAGACCGTCCGGACCCACACATGCCGAGCCCCAAAACCGCGCCGTCGGCATTCTGGCCAGTTCGCTCCAGGTATCGGTTTGTGGATCGTAGCAGAATGTGGTATTGACAACGCCTCCAGAGGCTGTCAAGCATCCAAATGTGTGCTTCGCATTCCTTATTTCGCAGCTTTGGAACGAGCTGAAACTTCCTCAAGAGTCCTATTCAAGCATCGCCTGTTTCGGCGCCAGTTTGGATCGCATCAAATGGACGGAATTACGCTGGACCAAACGTTTCCTTAATGCTGAGCACTATCCTTTGTTGTAGATTTCTGATGAACTGTTGACTGTTTTGTTATGTGCCGTGCTTTCGTTTATATGAAAGCACATTCTCTTCTGGTAGTCTACAACCTCGTGCAGGGTTGTCCTGATTGTTGTAGACGTTAAGCTGATTAAACAAAACAAAACAAAAACAGACGACCGTTGTGTGCCACCGCGGTGAATCGATACAGCGGTTCCGGCAAATTGGCTATAGCTTGCCAGCAGTCTGCAGTACAATCATACCGCTCCACGGTCGGCAACACGGAGCGATAGTGAATTCCACCAACAGCGTAGATGTGGTTGTTGAGGACGACGACTGAATGTCCCATGCGTTCGTAATGCATCGGCGCTGCTCTCGAGCTTTGAGTTCCTGGATTGCTTTGTTGTTCTGAATCAGCCATGGCGAATAACGAACTGCTGACAATGAGAGAAGATAAAAGAAGTGTTTCCTCTCAGGAGGGCCATTATGTCAGATTCCCAGTGAATCATGCCCGCTTCGCCAATATGGTCCGGGAGCTGCGTGACGCTCCCAGCTGTGAAATGCTGTGTGATGTCATAGTCAAAGGTCAAGAAGAGGATTCCCCTGGAATTCCCTGCCATCGCCTGGTCCTCAGCGCTCACAGCATGTACTTTCGCACCATGTTTACCATTGGTCTGAGAGAGAGCCAGGAAAGGGATGTTCGCTTGAGGAATGTGCCCAGTGGAGTTCTCAAAATGTACGATATTTGCAAATTATACCAGACTTTCTCATGTACTTTCTAATACGTAATGCTCCGCACTAGTAGTCAGCACCTTAGAAATACTGTACGTGTTCTGCAACGTAGCGATACTTCTATTGGGTTTAGTAACCAACTGCAGTGCGGCGAAAACGGATAGTTTTGTGCTAACAGACGGTAACAGTCGTTCTACATCTGGGCTAATTTAGCATACCGGTGATTGCAATTTGATCGATTACTGTTATTCGACGGACCTTATTATCAACGATGCGAATGTACACGCTCTCCTGGCTGCTTCACATCTTTTGGATATTCTTCCGGTGGTCAGTGCATGCTGGGAACATATGGAAAACCACTTGCATCCATCCAGCTGCCTGATGACCTTATGTTGCCTTCTGACCGCGGCGCATCGACCACGCTTAGCTGAAAACGTTAAGGCAATGGTCTTAAAAAATTTTGCGGGCATTTCGCGATACGCTGAATTCCTGGAAGTCAGTGGTGATCAGGTCTGCCACTTTCTTTAACGATCAAGTTTTGTTTTAACGTGTCACATGATCGTTAAAGCAAAACTTGACCATTCTTTAATTCTCCTTGAAAAAAAACACATAATATCAAATGTCCTGAATTACATTAATCAATACGTGCTGTGCATTATTCGAGCATGCGTTGGCAGGTTTTCTAAGACATGTTTTGTGTTTTGTTTAGCTGACTGAACTGCTGTCTGCGGATGATCTCTGTGTTGAACATGAGGACGAAGTTCTGAGTGCCGTTGTGCGCTGGCTTAAACACGACCCGGTCCGACGCTGGCCAAATATTCGCGCAGTGCTGCGGTTTGTGCGCTCGCGGTTTCTAGCTCAGAGTCCCATCAACAGTATATGACTATGTTTGATAACGCTCCCAAAAACGAGCCACATGTCCATGAAGGACAGTTATGTGACCCGGAAGATATAGAGCATTTACTGATGTCTGCAAACAACCTTGATACTTGGGCAAACGGCAAACGGCAAACTTTAGTTTACTAAGTGAAATTACTAGTCAATAGGTTATCATGAGCCAATTGGTTGAGATTGCAATTGGCTCGTCACAGGTTCCTCCCAGCTGATCCCAGTCATCATGTGCATCGGTGGAGAAATCGAGTCACTCAAGACTCTGGATTGTGTGCACTATTTCCACCCAATCAGCTCAACGTGGACGCACAAGAAAGCTTTACCCTATCCTGTATGTGGCGCCGGTCTGGCAAATGTGGACGATAAGTACATTTTTGTGTGCGGTGGGTTCTCGTCAGGTGATGTAGCTACGAACTTCTTAAGTCGTGTCTACTGCTATAACATCGAGTGCGACCAGTGGAGCGCATTGCGTAAAGTACTAGTACTTTATTTCCACTACAGTACTGTAGTGGAAATATTAACGTAAGCACGAAATCTAGTTAAACTTCTGGCGTTCACAAGAAGTCGTGTTGATATTTAAGCAGATTAAGTTTATCAGTGTCCATACTGATAGCGCGATCGGCTACTTACAACGCCATTATACATAATTGAAATTTTATCTATCTGGTTTAAGCTCGAAGCCGCAGGATATTTCACAAAATTTGATAGCCAGATAGTTCGTGTGCATTTGAGCTAAAACGGTTTATGCTTGCAAGTTTATGGCGGGAGTAGTGGGAAAACATACTGATAACGCGAACGGTCAAATGTAGGCAGATGCACGAAAAGTCTCATTATGGACCGCTCTCTTTCCAGTTTTTGTACAAAAAGAAGCTACGAGTACATAGTATGAAGATTGTGTTTACACCGAAACACGATTCGAAACACGAAACACTCGTAGCATTTTATCCAGTTTTTTAAATGAATTTTAAGTATGCAAATGCGATAGTTTTCGTTCCCGAAAATGGACAGATGGCGACCGTGTTCAACCCGAACCATAGTTCCAAATTTTTTGGTCTACTTGTAATAAGACTTTCAAGTGTCCATTCTTTAATGTGTCCATTCTTTTTTAAGTGTCCATTCTTTAACATGTAAACCTCGGTTTTTTTTATTAGTGTCTATCAGTGCGGGTTTGTTCGCTATGCTACAGTAATCAGCTATTTTGCCTAAATAAAAAGTAATCTGGTGTCCATGCATGTACACGAATTCGGTACCATGTACAAGTACTCTGTATGTACAATACATCTTCTTCAATCAACTCGTCGCCAGTTCTTAAATAATTGTTGTCAAACTGCAAGCAGCAAGTCGAAATTAATAAAATTCATGTTAACAGTACGTGCATACGTATCACAAAGAAACTATCACTGTAAGGCTGGCATCACGAACCGCTGCACAACCGCGTGCAGCAGTGTTCTTAGAAAACATCTTTAAAAACATGTAAAAATCAGGAATCATGGTGACATTAACCAGTCCTATAAACACAGCTGCCGACTACCAATTCAACATAATAAGAGAGTCGCGCCGCTTTCGCCGGCCACTAAAAGCTGCCGGTTCATAGGCAACAACGCCAACCCGACACAATTGCCCTTGAAGACGTCCGCCCGGATCTTGGTGGTCACCAGCGACGTCCCGCCGCGCAGCACGTCGCCCACCACCCCGAGGCGGTTGCCGGCCAGCAGCGCCACCAGGTCGGCGGTGTGGCCGCGCTGCGCCAGTCCGCACTGCAGCAGCGGTTCCGAGAAGGCGGCGATTTTGTGCACGAGACGCTCGTCTGGTTCGCGCGTTAAATCCCACACGCAGACCACGTTGTCGCTGGCCACGGAGACGAGCCGGGTCGGGCTGAGGGCCAGGAGTTGGAAGATGTCCGAGTCGTGCGCTTTCCACGTGGCGCTCATCATGCCGGTGCGCTGGTCGAACACCGAGATCACGCCTGCATAAAACGGATTCTATCGTCTTTCGCACAGCGACACAGGTTATTTTTAAAATGCCAAGAATTCAGTTTTTAGTAGTGTTCGGAAGTAGTTGCTTTGAATTAGTTGGTTCAGTGTTGCGTAAGAAGAAAAAGCGGTTTTTCGTTAACGCTGACAAAAAACCAATTCATATAAAATACATATATAAAAGTACATAATATATTCTTTCAATTTTCTATCATAAGTTCCGCTACTCTTCTACGCATGCCCATTTCGCATGTTGGGAATAAACCGAGCTTTTAGTGCCCGTGACTAGTATCCACTGCACTACGACATTTTATCGCATAGCACGAGCTGCAGTTTCGAACTGGAGTACAAGCGAGGGTGAAAATGTTTTCAGGTAACGCTAAAGCGCTTTCTTAAAGAATCTTGTAAAGAAGAGTCCGTAAGATAAATAAAGAGAAAATAAAAAAATTTAAAACAATAATAATTCAAGAAAATTTACGAAATTAAATTATACTTCTTGTTTTAAATAAAATTAATAATATGCCACAAATTCTGTGCCATCGAATACATTTTCGCGAACGTAAAGTAGAGGTACAGAAAGAAAAAGCGGCACAGTTGACCGGTTAAATTCTCTTCATTTTATCAGAAACATACCGGCGGAGAATCCGCAGGCGAACCAGGAATTATCGGGCGCCGTCACCAGACAACGAATCAAGCCGGCACTGCCGTAGGACACCTTGAACTGCCCCCCGGCGCAGGGACCCCATTTGCTGCGCACGTCGTAGCGGCTGACGTGGCACAGTTCGTCGGTGATGTATCCGATCAACAGTGTGCTGCTCGGCGAGGAAGAAGTGTCCATGCAGGTGGCTTGCGTCGGCACTTCCGGTCGGTAAACGGTCACAACGGTCCTAACGAAAGCATTGCATCTATTCCATATTGTTTTTTCGAATTTATAAGTTCCATCAAAGTATTCAGTTTATGTACTTATTTTGAATTAAATTTATCTAATTTATTCATTATTAAACCTCAATCAATTAAAAGACTGAGGTAAAAAAGTTAATTAAAAATGCCTAAATCTGTAAATAAGACTTATGGTGCACAAATTTTGTGCGCTGATTTTTCATCCAGCAAAATTAGCGCTGCGCAAAATCACACACCAGGGATCCCAAAGGTGAACCGCACCGTCACAGGACGCCGCCAGTCGTTCACGCGCCATGAACTTCAGCTCTGTAACAGGCTTTTTATGATCGACATACATTCCTTCCGCCGCCGTGGAGCTGTAGTTGCCGTCGCCGGTGTTGCGAATGGACCACAAGCGCACCGTCTTGTCCTTTCCGCCGGACATGAAGCTCACTTCCGAGTCGAACACGTACAGGCTCTTCACCGAGCCGGCATGCGCTGCAAACATTTACGAATGATAAACTGCCGTTAAACTGGAATAAAATATCATATACCGGCGAAGGTCTGCAGCGGAATCTGTTTCACGTTCCAGGCTTCATCGCGGCGATCCTGTCCGATCTCGTTCTGCCAGTAGGCCAGCCAGTTGCCGCGCAGAGCCCGATCTGCGCCCGCTTGGCTGTCGCGCAGCAATTTCGCTTCCGCCGCCTGTGATTCTCTGAAAAATACAATTTTTTTCAGTTTTCGTTAGCCGTACGTTTGTACAGATGTGTTACAAAGTGTTATCCTGCAGCGTGTAAGCTGACACATACAAAACGCAGCCACTTACTACGCTCATAAGACTACATATGAACATAAGTTCATATGTAGTCTTATGAGCGTAGTAAGTTCAAAACAAGTTCAAAAAAGTAACAAACGTAGTGCACTGCCTTACATGTCACGCACGACGGTTTAAAGACGCAGGAACATTGGATATTAGTGATAAAATAATAAATTGTAAGCTAAAGGTGCTTATTTTTACTCATTTCTTACAGTGCTACTCATTGCCATAAAGAAATAAGGTGAAAAACAAAACCGAATTTTTTCTGGCTTACTTAACTTTTTTTTTAAAAATAAAAAAAAAGAATAAATGTAAAAGCACGCCAGAAAGAACGCTAATTTTAAGAATATTCTGTTATAATATACCCGGACTCCTAACCAATGAGGAAACTGGAAGCATCATTTTAAATCCTCAGTATAAGCTGTATAACTAATATATAATTATTTTAAATTATCAGTTATTTATAATTATAATTATTTCAAATTATCCGTATAAGCACCAAACTGATTTTTTCTAATTATATACACAAAATGTTAGTAAATCTGAAAAATTTTCAGATTTACTAACAGTGAGAAAGAATATCATGTAAGGGCGGGACGCCCCACCCTCCTGAGTAGCTATTCGCTGTTTCTGGGGATTTCCACCCCGCACATTGCTGCGCTGTTTTTGACGGACCTGCAGCACAGTTGCACTGGCTGCAGGATCCTTCCTCATTAGTCTGGTGTTGCTGCGCCACGGTGCGCATTAGATTCTGCAATAAAGCCTCATCCGGGTTCACCGCTGTTCGCTGTCGAGGATACGCGTGGCGCCCATACGGCCCCGCGTTATAATCAGCATGAAAATTCTCTTTTAGTATCTCCGTACTCGTAATCGATGACATCAACATCCAGCGCACTGGCGTTCACCGCCGACGTCTGTCTCCGCAGTCCCTTCACTTCCGCTTCCTCCCCGCCGAACCGCTGACTGCGCGTCGATGCCCCGCTGTTGTGCCGGGACAACCTGGCCCCCGAAATACTAATCGACGGCTTCTCGTCGCTGCCGACGACCATGGCGTGCAGGAAATCGGAGTTGATCAGCTTCTCGTCCATGTGGAACTGTCCCAACAGCGCGCAGAAGGGGATGTACGCGTCCGAGGCCATCTCGTCGGTGAAGACGGCCTTCAGTTCCTGCAGGGTCTCCTCGCCGTCGCTGCTGTGAAAGGGCGCCGTGCTGGGCGGGGACAGGGCGGAGTCTAGGGAAAGGGTTACCGGGGTGCCCACGGTTAATTCGCCGCTGGATTGGTCTTTTTTGATGGTGATGAACGGAGAGCCGTGCGGGTCAGGGGGCGGATCACGGTTCGGCGATTTTCGGCCCGGCACCGGAATACCGTCTACAAAAACACCGCGAATCAGTGAAAGAATTGCGAAATCAAATAAAACTAATCTACAGCAACGGAGAAAGACAAAAATTAATATACCATGATTTAAAGTACAGTCGATGGTTCAGTGTTGCGGAAGAAAAATCTGTTATTCGGTGACAAAAAAAAACAGTAAAAACATTCATAATATGTATACTTTCTACTGGTTTTATTATGATTTTCGTTATTTTTTTTCGTACGCTCACTTCGCATTATTTGGATAAACCAAACTCAGGTAGACGACCACTATCCACTTCACTACGACATTGTGCTACATAGCGAACATCGCAATTTCTAGTTGCAGTACACATACACGTTAGATTGTTGGAGCGAAACTTACGCACCTATTTCCAAAATTAATTATTTCTGGTTAGGTAGGTGAAATTAGGTATTTTCAGCTGTCAATGTGCTATGCTAAAACAGTGAGCCAGAACCGTCAGAAAACCAGAGCCTCCCCCATTTTCCTATATCTGGACTGTATTCTGCGCTACATTCTACACTTTTAACTGCTCCATTTAACCACAGAGATCTCTTCAAGATTGCTGGTAATAACGTAGCGCGCGTCATGATGCGCTTATGGAAATCATACCATTTCTCAGTTATTTCAAGCGACTTTACAAAAATCGTAGAGACACCAGACCTGGCGGAGTCGGCGAAGTTGGTTGGGCGCTGTACAGCTTCGTGAACACCCCGAAAAACGTCACCAACAACGGGCTGGTAATCATTGTCCTGCAAAATGTCAGTATACACCACCAGCTAAATTTATACTATGATTTTAATACAAGAAAAACTGAAAAAGAGCAATTTCCAAACTCTAACCTGGCAGATTCCCGTCCAATGCGGCTGGCCAGCGTGTAGACCAGATTGAGCCACTTGAGCGTCAGCAACCGGCGGGTGGCGACGCCCGAGGGGAAGATGTGCAGGCCACTGGTCAGCAGTTCGACGTGGGGGTACAGGATCTCGTTGATGATCTGGAAGGGCAGGTGCTCGTACAGCGCGGCCTCCGTCACCTGAGGCAGGATCTGCTGCATCATCTCCAGACAACCCAGCAGTCCCGCTTCGTTCATCGGCGTCAGTTTCCGCAGGGCCTCCTTCACCAATTCGGCGCAGTATGAGAAGTAATGGTCCCAGATGAAGCTGCGCCCGTATAAGGAAGCAATGTCCATCAGCACCTGACTGACACCCCAGGCGGCCACATCGCCTATTCATAGAGAAGTGCGTATAAATTATAAAACAAACTCCTATCGAATATTAAAATTTGTGTTCAAATAATACAAAAAATAAATGTGGATATAAGTTTATCATTATTTGATTCTGTCTTTTTAGCCAGCGTAAATTTGGCCGCTCCTTACAACGCGCTGTATGGAGGGGAATATTATTCATGCCATCCGTAAAGGCAAAATCTAGCGCAACAACTGTGCTGCAAACTGCACAATCGGCTTACCAGGCTGCTGCTGCACTGCAGTGTTTCAAGTTCCTATTAGTATACGTAACGTAACCGCAGGTTCGGGTTGGCGGTACATTGCGTTTACGTGAACAGCAATACCACCGTCTGCTAAGGCACCAACTTCAGTATGCAACGCCGTTATTTATGAACCTGCCCAGTACAGCAACGAGTTTTTCATCTGGTTATTCGCTAAAATTCGATTAGTAAATGAATTAGTAAATAACTTTTATTTAGCGAAAGCCAAATCTTACTATTTACTTACTATTTACTATTGTAGCTGAATATTTACTTACTTTTACTAATTTCGCCATAAAACTTTACTGTTTACTACACATTTAATTTTAGGGAAGCATTTATTTAGTTTTATTTAGTAGCACATCACTAGGGAATACAATACTAATCCACTTTGTAGTGAGATCGTAGAGTAACGGCAAATAATCAGGGGTACGCATAGTGTTCGCCAAAAGCTCAAACTACTAAGCAAGCTGAACAAGCATTCGAATCGGAAGCAATCTTGGGAAAGTTTTTTTAAACAAAATTTGCATTAGCGTTGGCAAAATTTCCTGCTTTAAAGTGTCATGCATCCGACAATCTCACCCGCAACAATAATCGGCGAAATCAGATCTTCATTCTGACCGACATCCAGCTGCACCGGCTGCAGTTTTTCCTGTTCCGAGTAGCACAAGGAGAGCGACTTCAACAGATTCCCCGAAATAAACCGCGATGTCAGGACGGGACCGATTTCCTCCGCCAACCAGTTCAAGCTGCTCATCACGTGCGTTTGTACAATATCCGGTGCATCAACCATCACGTTATCCTGCAAATTAATCGTCATACTACATCATCCCGACAACAAGCATTTAAAAAATAAATACAAAAATAAAACTTTGTCTTAAATTTATCTCAATATTTATTTTTCGTTAAAAAACTATTAAAATAATGTTAGAAAAATAAATTGAAAATAAAAGAAACCCATTAAAAGTACTGACCAATACGCCACCGTTGTCGTCGTCATCTAGCGTGAAAATCTGCTCCTCCTCCACAGGAACACTATGCCCAGTTTTCCCCGTCCTCTGCAGCATTTCTTCGACATCCGCCAGTTTCTCGATCAGCGGAACCAGCCATACCCGCAGGAATACTCCCATACCCAGCCGCACGGCCACGCTCTGCAGGAATTCCGGCTGGAAGAGCTGGACATACGCGTGATAATCGGCTTTATCCGCCGGCGGGCCCTCACCGTACACCTGCTGGATCAGCGGCAACAGCATCTCGCCGAATCTGTCCACGCCGCAGTATTTCATCACGGTGTCACTGAGCACGACCAGCCACTGATGCGGCTCGCTGGACTGACTGAACAGCTGCTTGAGGAAGGTGAACGCCAGTTCCCGGTCGCATTCGTCCATGTCGTCCAGCACTTCACTCAGTATGCTGTGGTCAGCTGCAAATGGAAAAATCTCCATGAAAAAGAAGATTCTTTATTGAATCATTAAAGTTTAACTTCTAACCTCAAATCTGCGACAGTTCAGTGCATATTTTAACACCGATATCAAGAGCGTACCGTAATCTGCGCCGTTCTGCTACGACATTTTACGTCTTTCAGCCGGCGCTGTCTTAGCTCTCTTGTACTGTCTTTAGCTATCACGAACTTTCTTCGTTAATCCACAGTGAAAATTTCAAATATACTGTTAATATAAAAAAGCTAAAAGAGGTGTAATTTTTAAATCTAAATTTTAAATATCGCTTTTCAATAGTGGACACTAAAATGTTAAGAAATAATGAACTAAAAACATATAATTGTTTATACTGTAATTAATCCTAGCTAAAGGTACTTTAGAAAAATTTGCTCTGCTAACCTGTCAACGCGATGGTAGCCGCATACTGATGGAATTTCTGCATGTACCGGGGAAAGGGAAGAATCCTCTCACAATCCGCCAGAATCTGCTCTGCTCCATAGGGAAACACTTTGCTGCTGAGCAAGGCTCGCACCGCCCCACCCAGCTCCGCCGGTAATTTATTCTCCACTGCGGCGAAGGTTTTCTTCGTATAAGCCACTCGCTTCGATAGCACGGAAAAGGACGGGAAGTAATGCGGCATGTGACTGGACGCGAAGATATCCACGGCTAGGCACGTCACGCTCTGCAGATCATTGCGTAAATAATACAGTACCGTCTCGGGTTGTTTCAGCGGAGGGACGAAATCGTCCAGTAGCTTCGGCTGCTCTTTATCCACCGATATGCAAAAGTCAATGAGGACCTCCAAGTTTTCCAAATGCTCCAGTGGGCTCACTATTAAGAACATCAAAGCATTTCACTTTAGATACAACGGATGCTGCAAAATGCTATTTAAACATCATCCACCTCATTTTGCGTTTCCTCACATATAATAACATTACTACTTCAACTAAAAACATCCTTATTTCTAATTAAAACCGTCCAGAAAAATAGACCCAATAACAAATCCGCGAAATTGGACAATAAAATATACAAGTACAAAACCTAAAAAAATATTAAAAAAATATTACAGTACAGTAAGAAACAAAAATGGAGAAAATTCTGCGTAAGCGAAGGAAGCTGTGCCTGCTTCCACAAAAAAGTAATTATTCATGTAATCAAGTTTTCCACTGCCAAAACTGTACGAGCCACGATTGTCAGAGTGCATTTTGTAAACCGCTTGGCGACCCGACGACGCTGCGATCTGACTACGATTCCTGACTAAATCAGCAGCTTCCATGTTCTTACAGTGCGCGGATTGATTCATCGAGCAAGTTTTTAAAACGCCGGACTCCGTAGTAAATCAGTAACATAATCAGTCAATTTTTAAATTCCAGCCGTCAATGAAAAAAATCATCTATGGACCAGGATGCGCAATAATAAACTAATTGCACTCACATGTTTCGCACATATTCCCATTCTCTATAGGCAGCGCCATCTCCACATTATCCACCGACACATCATCTCCAGAGTCCTCCTTTCCCACACTCAAATTATCCCCGCTGCTCCGCCTCTTCATGCCCTTCGCGCTGACCTTTATCAAGGGAATCGGCTCGCGGGCAAACCAAGGCAGTACCCGGAATTTTGCTGGATGCGCCACCGCGAATAACTGCTGGATGCCATGATTCTTCAGCCCCCGGGGCGGCAGGTGCATCGAGAGTACCACGTTCTTGGCCTCGATGGCTTCCTTGCCGGTCAGTTTGTAGCCCGAAGTTCAAGTCGATCCAGTGGTGGAGATGCTGCGACACGTAGTCGCTTTCCAGGGCAGCCCTGTGAAACTGCAGGAAGGCGCGGACGTCGGGACACCAGGGCGGGACGGCCAGGTCCGGGAGATCGGGGTGGATGGACTGGAAGATGGTCGGGTCGGAGAAGAACTCGGGGATGCACTCGTCACACGACCAACGGTATAAGCGCTCCATTCTACAGACACCAGTAACCAGTAACCACTATTCCTAATGACTATGGTGAACTGTTTCGTCGAAACTAAAGTTGTTTTTTCAACCGATATATAGAATATGCGTAGACCGTAGTCAGCTGATCACTACGTGTATTCTTCCAAGTTGTATTTTTATTACTATTTTTCGTAAGTAAGCTTTTACTGATTAAGTATTGTCGAGGTTAGGCTTCCCTTGAAAAACTCTGTGGCCGCGTAACGCGTTTACGTCTATGAAAATCGTTTAACTTGCAATCTAGTTAAAAGTTAATAACGGATCGGATGTAAAAGCAACTAGGAAATTAAAAAAACTTGATTTGATAGTCGGACTGTCCAACTTGGGCTTAACTTAAACATCTTATTTATACGTACAACCTAATGCCGGATTGGAATGAGCGCCCACACACTACAATTCATTGACACATTTTATAAGAATATGTTATTAGCTTTAGTTGACTGATACTCTGGTAAATTTGTAAATACGTAAAATCGTCGTAAATACTAAAATATACAACAAGAGCGAAATCAATAAAATCTTATCTTCTACATTCTATCTAACGTCATCAGCTGCAGCATACGTGCACATTCTAATAAGTCTCAACCTATTCTGTACGTCCTGATTCACCACTACAAATATTCTTAGCAACAAATTTTATTTAAAAAGACGCATATTCCGTGTCCGCCGGGCCACGGAGTACGACAATTTTAACACACACAGCTAATCTAAACTTACGTGGATGGATATTCCGCCGGCACCCAGCGTTTGCGCACGTGCTGACACAGCACACTCTTGGGAATCCTGCGTGCTTTATAGATGTAGAAGGTCAGATCGCTGAACGTCTCGGGAATGTGATGCGCCAGCATTCCGTTGTCGGAGGCTTGGTAGGTCAAATCCAGCTGGTGATCACCTTTGGTCAGACGGTACTTGGAGCGGGTCAGATCGCGGTAGCCCTCGGTGGAGGAGCTGAAGTCCACCACCCACGGCATGATCGGATGGTAGTCGGGATGGCCGAAGCAGCGTCCGGCTGCCCGGTTCAAAGCCAGAAGGTACTCGAAGTTGGTAATCTTTCCCAAACACCATAATGTCTACAAAACATTATGAGAAATCAAAATCTAAATATCAACGAATAATTTAAATACAAATGACTAATCTAAATATCAACGATATGGATACAAAAGCAGCTAAACAAAAACAGACAAAAATGTAACTCCATATTCTAACACGAAATATTTATATCTTAATTATTGGACCATACACCATACAGAAAATATCCGATCCACCACTTAAGCAGCCCATGCACTACCATATATTCATCAATTCAGTCCAACGCCATCTCCCATAAAACGCCAGCCAAGGTATAACAACCTTCCCTACAGTATATCATGCATCAACAACAGTGCTTTTATGCGCACCTGTAATCCGGACAACTTTAAAAATTCGCAATGAAAGCCACCGAGAAATTCAAAAAACAGTCTGCAAAAAGTATTTCATAATCGATAATGAATCTGTCAACAGCAGCTCAGTCTCAAATGGCCATAAGCTTTGTTCGAGCTATTGCACTACGATTCCACACTATGCGGAAGCAAAAGAGAAACCTGCGGAAATTAACTGCTCACTTCTCGTCCCTTTTCATCGGAATCACTTTAAAAATAAACGTAAACAAGAACGACAAAAATTCAGTAGTAATTAGTAAACTAACCGTCCACTCGGAGATTTTCCCAGCATCCACATCTTCCGGATCCTCCTTCCGCTTCGTCTCTTCTTCACCGGCACTTTCGTCCTTGATAACCAAGCGAATGAGCTCCTCAAACAATCGGATCGGCTTCATTTCCAGCCACATATCGTGCCGCACAACGAAATCCGTTAATCCCACATTGCCGGCGAGAAATCCCTTTCTCTGCACGGCCGCCACCGCCTGGATGCACTGGTACAGGATGAAATACTTGGCCGCATCGCAGGCCAGCAGGTTACTGGAGAAACGCAGGCAGTCGATGATGGTAAAGGGACGGTACGGGAGGGCCACCAGGAAATGGTCAACCATACAGGCAACAAAATATGGACGGAGAATATTCGGAGGAGTCGCCGGCGGCACTAAAATTAACCCATGGCTGTGCAGCAAGAAAAGTATCTATACGATTCACATGGAAACGATTTACAACAACAGCAAACACGGTGGCATTTAATGTATGCGATTAATGTGAACCGATCAGCATGTATGTAGCAATATCTTCGAAACAAAAAAGTTGAAACCGTTTCAAATCATTCCATCATTATAAGACGCTATTTGCTATACAGTCTATGCGTAATTTATGAGAGTAATAAACCTCCATTTCCGAGACCTGAATCGTTTACCACTTCACTACGATTACACACCATGGCAAAGTATCGAAAACACATACATATTATGATATTTCCGCTGCTGAATTAGAATAGTTCAAGCGTATTATTTTAAAAACATTATTTAGTTAGTTCAAAGCTTCGCAGGAGAATTTTATACGTGTATGGACCAATGCCCCAATTATATGGAAGCACGTCTTGCAAGCCCCTTAGAACTTTTTCGCATCAGTATTTTACAATTTTTATTAAATTTTACACACTAATGTTGCTTTTTACAGGTACACGTTTTCGTTTTTAAAGAATACAGTCATGTTGCCCATTACTGCGATTTTAAAACTACGCAAACGCGCTACTGTTCAGCCTGCAAAGCTGCAATTCGTGCAAAGAATTCAAGCTGACATTTTAACATCACTGGCTGAATTTACCGATTGACGCTCGCCCGGAAAAGTCCAAAAAGGGGCAGGACAGGACCGACTGACACACTTCCGCCACGATATCGCCGGCCATTTCGTAGACGGGTTGCGGGAGGGGCGCGATCACCGCCTGGATGCTTTTGGGATGTTTGCGCAGAACGGCGGCATTCTGTGCTTCACCTTGCATTGCCTAGAACAAAAAGCAGACACCAGTAGAAAACAAAAAGGGGAAGTGACGCGGACTGCTCCGATGGCACCGGGGATATCACGCTCGGAGAAAGCTGAAAATCGGATGCTGCATGTATATTCCGGACATACCGAAATCCGCGAAAAATAGTTGTCTTCCGTCCCATCACCATTCTCGATCATTTCCGGAAACCTACAAATATAACTAGGTATCTGAATTATGCCAAATAATTCTTCAACCGTGTATCCAGATAAAAATATAGCAACATAAAACTGTGAAATGCAAAAGAGCCGTAATAAATCTCATCCCCAAAATTTCAGAAATAATAAATTAATATTAAATAATTTAGTACGTAATCTTGCCGTTAAGTTTTGTTGCTGGAAAACCGGCGATTCCCCAGAAAACCATTCAAATTATTTTCTTTTTATTATTATAAAATAACCGAAATCGCTGCTAACTCATGTCTATTTCTTGTAAGGTATACTCGCTTTCGACTTTGCTAGCCTGACGAAAAACAAAACAAAACACATACACAAGAAAAATTAGGAAAATTTAGCTACTCAGAACACTGGGTAAATACTTCCATGCACTCAAGGAATCCCCTTGTTACTGCAATCAACAACACTACTGTGTGATGCCGTTTAAAAAACAAATTCTATCAACGGGAAAAATCAAAATTGTGATCAACAATAATCCTGCCACGAAGACTCTGCATAGGAACAACACCGCTACTGAGCCAGCGCACTACGATTGCTCACATTGGATCTAACCTGCGTAAAGCATTGCAGTCAAGTTTTAACTACGGTTCAAAATCGCAGTTCAAAACGTTTCACATTTCAGACTACAAATCAATCGTTTTTCCCATGTAAACGTTTTTTTTTAAACGACGCTTCGAAGAATTCGAAACGAGAAATTTATTTCTGTAAATTAATGTTTTTAATACTCTTACATAGAAAAATTAATCAAATTAAAGGCTCACTCCATAAAATATAATGAATCGCGACGAAAATAACGATACAGCAGTAGACATTAATTAGCTACTAACATTTTATTTAATTTTCTTTATATCGGAAAAACATGGGCAAATAAATTCAAAATTTTATTTCATATCGTTGGAAAACGGTTCAAAAAGTTTGAATTTCGACTTTGCATTTAACTTTTTATTTTTGGACGCAAAATCTAATGACGAACCTCTGTACAGACGCCGACGGCAGTAAGGGAACATAAAACATTTCCACAAAAATCCATTCCGTCCCGTCCTTGGCGTGAATTCTCCCCGTTCCGGAGGCTGCCACGGGAGGCTGACTCAGCAGCAACTCCACTTCGATGTCGCTCAACTCGGGCAGCACAGGTGCGTCTTGGAAGCAGGCACGACGCGTGTTGGACGCCACCAAATGCAGCAGCCACTCTTCCTGCACCTGTAGCACCCCACAAAAAATGCATAATCAATTCAGCAATCAGAAAAAAAGATTGCGATGTGCAAAAAGTAGACAACATGTTCAGCGTTTGCTGGGGTTTGGTTTTCTAAGCATACTTCTGCATCGCAAGCTGCTGCATTCAGAAGTTAAAACTGGCGAAACTTTTACAAGTAAAAGCCTACCAAACATAAACAGCGAGTGGGAGGATTGTCTCCATCGGAATGAGCATTGTGAAAGATATCGGAATCCAGAATACGAATGTGACTTTTGGGAATACAGAGATCGATTTCTGGGAATGTGCAGTTAGACATTTTTCAACGCTGCGCACACACGTCGCGCTATAAAATCATCTGGGAACTTGATTATCACACAATCCCATATTCAGTAAAGATCCAACACCAAACTAAAAAAATTCTCAAGTTCTGGAAACTGCAGGTGCCATTAAAATCACTAGTTTCAGTTGGAAAGAATTCTGAATGCGAAAGAAATCTTTTGAAACACGATGATACGAGCAAACCAAACGTGTACAGAGATATGTGCACATCATGATGAAATTCGTGACGGTGAAGATTTGACTGGCCCATAGACACATATGCTATAACAAATTTTCAAAATTCATAACTGTTAATTTTCGCGTTAATGTTTTTGAATATGCTTTAAAATACAGAATAATATATACTAGTAGGCATAACAAATGTTTTTTTCGATTTTATTTTAGGGTTGCGCACTATGTGCCTACGTAATTAGCATGGCTGTCTATGGAGAAGTCATTTAATTTGATTTAAAGATTTCTCGTAGGCGGCTATGTTAACCACGTATGCTCTCAGTGCCAAACCTTAAGACGGAAACAGAAAAAATCGTTTTGCCTAATAGTAGATATTATTCTATATTTTTAAAGCATACTCACAAAACATTAACGCGAAAATTAACAAAGTTATGAATTTTTGAAAATTTAAGTTATAGCATATGTGTCTATGGGCCAGCGTCAAATCTTCACCGTCACGAATTTTATTGCGCAATCATGATGTGGTGCACTGGCATATCTCTGTACACACCAAACGTATAACTCGTGCTGTCACACTGCAGTGACTACTGCACCATGCTGCATCAGCTGTTTGGAGTGGCGTAGTGTGGCGAATACGTACCGGGGGAATGTGCCCTACAGCGTCTGCATTAACCAACTCACAGCAGTCATTTCCGGTTGCATGCTTCGCTGCGCCAAACAACTTGAAAAAATTCTGCTTCTGTTTCTACTACCCTAGGGACTTTTTTCAATTTTTATAGACTTCCATTTTTGTCGTTGTAAAGTAGCTTCTCGATTATGAGCTTCCGTTCAGCAAACTGAAACCTGATTTTTGTAAAAGATCGACAGTTTGAAGGTATTCGAAGGGATTCCGTGGAGAGTTCTTCGACTTCATTTTATCTGTGCTGCTTTGCAGTCTTTGCTATACAGAGACACTGATAACCAGCCCGTGCATAATTTGGAGCTGTTGACTGTTTGTCCGTTCTGATGGAGTCAGCCGCTCCGCAAACTACCTCCGCTGCCACGGCATTAATCAGTCCCTCGCCGGCGCTGAGTGCCCGCAAGGAGAAACGCCGACAATGGTGGGCTAGCAGTCTGGAGAAGCGGCTGAATCCCGCGGAGACCACTGCGGATTCTGTAGGTCCCAGTCCCACGAACGTGACGAACCCTCCAGCCCCAGGTACTTCAGCTCGCACCGTGTTTACCATGCGGAATGAACTATTCTGTCATTTTTGTCACCAGACATACCTCATTCTGATGACAAGAGAAAAGATCGCGAGAAACGCCGACGCGAGATCATCGACCGACAGCGACAGAAAGAAACTGGTAAAATTAAAAACCGACGCAAAATGTAGTTACTTTTCGTAGTGATAATCAGCTAATAGATCTAATCTCAGTAAAGAGGTAAATAAAATACAAAAATTTTTAAGGTGATAAATGATTCCCAAAACGCTGTAGACAGTGATAGTGCTTCGCGAAATACACCAACTATTTTTTTTTATTTTCGAGCATATGGATATTATGGATGACTGCACCGAATAATTTTGCACTTAATTTTTTAGCTGAGAATGGACAAAACGGCGAGGATGAAGCCTCGCGACGTCGGCAAGATAAAAAGTTTATCGTATTTGTTGGACAAATTCCTTTTGATACGAAGGAAGAGGAGGTGAAGCGGAGATTTGAAGAAATCGCTAAACCAGGTACGATCGTTACCGAAATCCTTTTTTTCCGTTCTATATTTGGTCCTGGGTTAGGTAGACTGTCAGTGGTGTGGTTTAGAAGACTTAAAAACGATAATTCCATTCGTATCTCATTAGATCAGAAGATTTTGTGTTACTGCAGTACTGTTTTAAATTGTAACTGTATAGAAAATAAGAAGATCTTCAAAAACCGTTTTGTTGACTTTTTTTGTGAACTTTGGGATTACTGAATATTTTCTTGTGATCGCAGAAAAAATCAAAAATTTCCGCTGGGCCACCCATCCCACAAGCAAGCGCTTCAAGGGATTCGCCTACGTGGAATTTTCCAACAAAGGCGCTTACCGGGTTGGTATCGCATTTTTAGTAATTTTTTTAATTTTTTTTGCCAGATTTTTATTGTTGATTCATACATTTAGCGCGCGTTTGAACTGCACAACACGGTGATCAACGGCCGTCCCATCAACGTGGAGGCGACGAATCCTGGCGGACGCAAAAGTAGATTTCGCAAGGACAAACTGAAGTCTCTCTCCACCAGCTTCCAGCAGAAAGCCAAAGAGGCGCTGGAGCGCAAAGAACGCGACGCTGCCAAGTGCAGAAAGCCGAAACCACCATTGAATGAATCTACTGAAGAAACTAAAGTGACAGCTGAAACAGAAGAAAAATCCACTGCGGTTGATGAGAAAACCCACCCCGATGAAATAAATCAGAAGAAGTCTTCGAAAAAGAACAGCGAACGAAGAAAGCGTCCTGAGACCGAGGAAGTTGAATCCGGCGGAGCAGAAAAAGCCTCCCCATTTGTGCGGTTACCAAAGAAGCCGAAAACTGGTGAAACTCCTGTCGATTTTCAAAATTCTCATCCAGGAAGCAATGAAAAACCACCGGAAGTCAAAAATGAGCCAACTCCGGATTTTAAAAAGGGAAAAAATGCCCCGAAAAATTTCCCGCCGCGAGGGAGTTTTGGTGCGATGAATCAGCGTCATTCGGAGACGGCGAAAGCGTTCCCGAAGGTTTCAGGTGTTAAGCCCAGGGAAGCGCATCTCGCGGGGTTGGGCAAGCCGAAAGTGCATATTAAATTTGAATGAATGAAATTTGTTTACTTGTGCTGAAAATTGGTTTTGTATTGATTTTGACCGCCTTTGTCGTTTGATACCGGACAGCGTGAATTAGAGAACAAACTAAAATGAGAAAAGCTAACCAAATAGTGGACCTAATTAAAGCGCATCTGCAAGATAAAATTAGTAATTTCACGTAAAATGCATAACCATAATAATCATTGCAAGTAATATTACCAGCACCTGTTTTTCTTTCCTAAATGCTGATGAAGGGTATTTCAAAAATGCCAAGTTAATCATTTCAGGAACGTGAAGACTTTTAAGAATGTGAACGAATAATTTTAATATTAAGATTTTTTAAAGACCCAGAAACATAAATCAAGAGATATCGTCAGGGAAAAGAAAATATCAGTACTCGTAATCATGTACGAGGTACATATCTATATATGATATAATAACGTACAATACATGCATAAATTTGTAAAACGATACAATTCGCTCATACCTATCGTGAACAGTCCTGCACTATGTATGTACCATATTTCCTAGTTCCTACCTAGTCAATATTTCTTTTGAATGGTTATAGTTGTATACAATTTGGCACTAAAATTATGACTAACCGTAAGACAGTGTTGTTCGATAATAATACTAAATTTTAGTAGTGATATCGGATTACGTATTCTCACAACACAAGAATGACCACCATACGAATTTTTAACCCATATTAATCATAAATTATTTTTGGAGCACAACTGCGTATGGCCAGTACAATTTCTGAAATGAATATACAGTACTGCGATGACTACATCCTCTTAATGGAATAGTATAGAATTACAATACGAGGACTAAAACTCCAAAGCAGCCCAGTCAGTCGTGCATCCAATCGGCATAAGTAATTAAAATGGTCTGGAGCGTGATAACCCTATAATGGGCGGTAATACAACCTTAACAGCGGTGTTAAACGGCCCTCCAATGACAGCACTGACGCACTAATAATAATGGTACCGGGAAGACCCAGATCAATGCACAACCATTGCACTGTCTTCCCGGAAGAAGTACGTATGTTAAACTGCGTTATCAGGAGAAACCCTATCCCCTAGCGGTGTGCACACCCAGTAATGAAAATAATGTATACCGGCTCCACTGAAACCGTCTCAGTGCGGCTAAAAACAGTGTCTGGCACAATCTGCGAAATTATTCTCCTTCGTTCTTTTGAAATTAACGTTGTTTTTCTTCCGCCACACGGCGTTCGAAAGCTATTGGTGTTTGTTGTCGCAGAGGTCATTTGTGGCTTTTCTCGCTAATTAAAATTCATGATGAATTTGACCAGCGCCAACACAACCCAGCCCTTCAAAATCACGGATCTAATCGGGCATTCCGAATTCTTCGCGTTTATGGCTATCTATCTGACCGTATGTTTTGTGGGTAGCATTGGCAACTTTGTCACCACCGTGGCTATTTTGGCCAATCAGCATATTTGTCGCAGTTGCGGTTTCCTCATTGGTCACTGCATGATTCCCTGTACGATACTCGGCGTAATCAACGCCGTCATTTGTATCCTGGACCACCGGAAAATCATCCTAGACGAGACGATCACGACCACCCAAGGGGCGCTCATCTCCTGGCTGCAGATGACGGCTTTCGGGGCGTTGTGGTGGATGGAACTGTGCATTGCGGTTAATCGCATGGTGGCCATCTGCCTACCGCAAAACTACCGGCAAATCTCTGATAAAACCACCATGACCTTTATGGTGCTGTTTGCTTGGCTTGTCGGCGGGACGAACGCCATGTTCGGGTGTTTCGGAATCGGTGTACGGTATGTGGTGTCGCCGTTGGGCAACCCCGCGACGAAGCAAGTGGACGAAAGTGGAGCGTTTTTCAATATTATCCGTTTGTATTTGCCGGCTTCGTTAGCGGCGGGCTGCTACCTGGTGACCTATGTGCAGTTGTTGGCGTTCCGGCGCAAGCGCGGCGCCGAGGTGAATGATTGGATGGGGTCCAGTGAAAAGGTCAAGCGGATGAAATCTAGGACGCAGCGGCTGCGCACGGCTAATATGGTGTTTGTGGCGTTCCTATGGAATTCGTTCTGCTCGTTGAGCATTGCAGTATGCTTGGCGTTGCTACCGGACGCTTTCTCCCGGACCCCGATGCTGATTTTGTGGATATCGTTGCTCATTACTTTTGGATATGTTGCGAATCCGGTAAAGTGCCCGCTGATTAGCACTTGAATGTTAACGATATATACGATATACTGTAACCTTTTAAAAAGACTCGCCTGCGTGTAATAAAGCGCTTCTCTTTATACAAGCTTTTATACCAGCGTGACTGTCGATAACAAGTATAATAATCTTATATTTTAAATTTATATAGTATATACGGATACCACGTCCTAATTCTAACACAAGACTTTCGCTTTACGTAGGTTATATTCTGCGTAATGAACGACGATTATAAAATCGCCATAACCAGGCAAGCGAAATCCGGAATGTGCTTGGCACTTACATACAGAACGAGAAGCCGATCACGTCTTTCCGATACCGGTCATCATGGATCAGGAACTGTTTACAACTGATTGTCCTGCGCGTGTTTTGAGTGTGATATACGCTTCGTAATAATCTCTCTTTATTCCAATCGTGCTTTCCAATAATCCATCTTGGACACGGAAATGTAGTATGATTAAACCTGTTGTCAATAAGTGGCAACAGAGTTTCGATTAAAAACTGTTTTGCGTCAAATACTGGAAATGATATATTCCGGTTTTTGTCTTACGATTGCTAACTATTTCGCGAGTATTAGCCGAAGATGCTCCATCTAATTAGAGTATTAAACACCGATAGTGATGATTCGAGGCTTCTTTGAACGCATTCCAGCCTACAATTTCCCGTTGCAGCCCACAAGTCAGCAAGTATGGAACTCGACTTTATAATGAGTAATGACATCGATTTTCCTGCTTGACAAGCCACTTGGCCATTGTATTATTAAGTAAAATACTGATATATAGAGTACTGGCTGATAATCTGTGGGTACGAAAGATGCGATCAGACCAGATTTACCATAAAACATTAGGTGAGTACCATGTACCCATCAGGCGAGAGGGTCAATCCGAGCGGCAGACATGGACCATGGTTAGCCGGAAATTGGCACACCTGAAGTTAACCTTATGTAAGTCGGAACTGAAGCCAGTACATTTTCCTGGTAATGTCGGTTAATGGCGTCAGCGAAAGCGTTAAATGGCTTCAACAACCTGCGTCGAATGTAAGGCAAAGAATAATTATCTTTTCTTGGAAAGCAATAACGATGTCGAACGTACTGTCGATACACGACCGATTCCTTGGATGAAAAGCGAAATATGTACTCTGTACAAGCAGCTGCATGCGAACGAATGTTTTAATGTCGCCAAAGAAGTACAATCGACATAAATTTCGGCAGTACTTGGCTTAACTAACCAGTAATTTCCAACATTGCTTTTTCTCAAAAATAGACAATTTCTTTTATTCTCAGCATGCTTTAGCAAACTTGAGATTTCTTAACGTTGAGTTTTCGTAACTAAAGACGAAATTACACAAAATAAATTCGCAGCTATAAAACCCCGCACGTCTCATGCCATGAGACTCATGGCCAGTGAGTACACGAAGTACTAAAGGTCAAAGCGACGAAATCAATTAAATACAACCACTGCTAACGGACCACAAATTTTTTCTTTCTCCGACTTGATTGGTAACACTAATTCTCTGACATCTTTGACATCTACATTTCCAACATCTCCTGTGTAAAAGGTCGCATAAGCAATCTCTGGCAGTCTTGCAAACGGCCGCCATAGTCATCAGTTTGATGCAGCGCAGTTGTGGGTTTCTTGTGGCCAGCGAAATACTTCATGTGGCTCGCCCCTCTGTCTGTGTATCATCATTGTGCAATAATAAGCGCAAACAAAGTATAGTACTGTATCACGAAGACAAATTTCCAGTTTTACCATAAACGGAAAAGGCCATTCCATCCGCAATACATGATTGTTATTATGCAAGACCGGAAATTCCGAAGTTACGGCGTCAGTCCAAAGGTCACATGCGCAAAAGCAAATGGCGGACATATTTGTAATTAAACATAAGTAAACACGCCTGAAAGGAGCAGTAATTGCAGTAACTGCAGTTGCGAATCAGCATTTCTTGGTAATGCCCAAGTAATGCTGTCAACAGAGACAGTGATTGCCTACAAATTACCGTCGCCTTAAATGAGACCAAATTTACCTTTCCCTGGAAAACTGTTAACGATGTCGAACAGCGTCGTCTTTGCTGTTCGTATCCCGTGAAAGTCAGTCGAAATATGAGAAGGAACCAAAGGAAATTAGTTAGCGTGCGTGTCGCCCAAACACTGAGACCGCGGAGACCCACCGATAGTGTTCCCGCGTGATATAAAATATTTAATTATATAAACCTGACGTATGTCTAATACATACTCGTTATCGACAGTAATGTTAAGTGTGGTACGAGGGAGAATGTTTCGTTGTAAGCTGGGGCGTGATTACCTTATTGTTAGTAGAAGCTGAAAACCTGAAATCTGAAAAGTTGTGGCTGGAGTCATTTACAATACTATGGCGCGCTACACCACTGCGAATATGGCCATCACTGTGTCGCACTACTAGCCCAAATTAAATCACTGATTTCAAAAGCGTATTTACACGATTTTTATAAATACTTTCGGATTTCTCCTTATTTTAAGCTTCTCGAACAATTCACGCCACCGGTGCCCACTGCCCGCCATGTACGATACTAAAACCTTGTGAATGCCGTTTTTGTTTTATTTTTAGTCAAAATTTCGTTGATTCTATTAGCTGATCTTGCATAACTGTGATTACTAAGTTGTGGTACTGCTAATACATTTTTTATATCATTATGCCGGAGAATCCGCCACAGAACGGCAGCAGTTATCAGCGGCTTTCGTAATCCGTTACTGTACGAAGCCTGTGTACTGCTCAATTACCGCCTGTTCACCGTCCCTGGAACGGGCTTGGACGATATGATTATGTGATTTTCAAGTTGGTATCCGCGAACGTGGACTGCCACTCATTTGCGCGTCGACAAACCTTCCGTGCCTTCAAGCTGTGATGGCACTGCTTTGGTGGCATATCCTTACTATGGAAGGAACCGGTATTTTCGTGTTTCTCT